TCCTTTCATGTACCTTTTGTCCATTTGTATATCTTCTTTGGAAAAATGTTTATTCTGTCCTCTGCCCATTTTAGTTAGATTATTTGTGTTTTGCTATTGAGTTGTGTGAGTTCCTTATATATTTTGAATATTAGCCCCTTATCAGATATATGGTTTGCAAATATTTTCTTCTGTTCTTTAGGTTGCCTTTTAATTTTGTTGATTGTTTCTTTTGCTGTACAAAAACTCTTTAGTTTGATGTAGTCCCACTTGTTTATTTTTGCTTTTGTTGCTTGGCTTTTGGTGTCATATCCAAAAAAATGGTTCCCAATACCGATGTCAAGAAATTTTTTCCCTATGTTTTCTTCTAGGAGTTTTATGGTCTTAGGTCTACATTTAAGCCTTTAATCTACTTAGAGTTAATTTTTGTGAGTGGTGTAAAGCAGAGGTCTAATTTCATACTTTTGTCTGTGACTATCCAATTTTCCCAACACTGTTAAAGAAACTGTCTTTTTCTCATTAAGTACTCTTAGTTCCCATGTCAAATTTTAGTTGGCCATATATGTGTGGGTTTATTTCTGGGCTCTCAGTTCTATTCCATTGGTCTATATGTCTATTCTTATGCTAGTACTGTTTTGATTACTATAGCTTTATAATATAATTTGAAATCAGGAAGTGTGATGCCTCCAGCTTTGTTCTTTCTCGGGGTTGCTTTGGGTATTGGGGATCTTTTGTGGTTCCATACAAATTTTAGGATTTTTTTTTCTGTTTCTGTGAAAGTTGCCATTGGAATTTTGATGGGGATTACATTGGATCTATAGATGGCTTTGAATAGTATGGACATTTTAACAATATTAATTCCTCTGATACAGGAGAGGACATGGGATATCTTTCCATGTATTTGTGTCTTCAGTTTCTTTCATCAATGTCTTGTAATTTTTAACGTGCAGATCTTTCACCTCCTGAATAAATTTATTCCTAACTATTGATTTTGATCACATTGTAAATGGAATTCTTTATTTCTTTTTCAAATAGTTTGTTGTTAGTGTATAGAAATGCAACTAACTTTTGCATATTGATTTTGTGTCCTGCAACTTTACTAAATTTATTAATTCTAACCATTTTTGGTGGAATCTTTAGGACTTTCTGTATATAAGATCATATCATCTGCAACAGATACAGTTTACTTTTTCCTTTCCAATTTGGATAACTTTTATTTCTTTTTCTTGTCTGATTGCTTTGTCTTGTGTTATGGTGCATAGAAATGGGGTGCAGTGAGCTTCCTTGTCTTGTTCTTGATCTTAGAAGAAAAACTTTCAGCTTTTCATCTTTGAGTGTAATGTTAGGTATGGACTTATATAGGGCTTTTTTATGTTGAGGTATAGTCCATCTATACTTTGTTGAGAGGTTTTTTTCATGAAGAGATGCTGAATTTTGTCCAGTGCTTTTTCTACATCTATTGAGATGATCACATGATTTTATTAATGTGATGTATCACATTGATTGATTTGCATATGTTGAACCATTTTTGCATCCCAGGAATAAATCTCTCTTAATCATGGTGTATGAACCTTTTAATGTATTGTTGAATATCCATGTTTATCAGAGATAACTGCCTGTAATTATTTATTTATTTTTGTAGTGTTTTTATCTGACCTTGGTATCAGGGTAATGCTGGCCTTTTAAAATGAGTTTGGAAGTGTTCCCTTCTCTTCAATTTTTTTGGGAGAGTTTGAAAAGGATTTATATAGATTCTTCTTTAAGCATTTGGTAGAATTCCCCAGGGAAGCTGTCTGGTACTGGACTTTAGTTTGTTGGGATGTTTTTGATTATTGATTCAATCTCTTTTTCTTAATTGGCCTGTTAGATTTTCTATTTCTTCATAATTCAGTCTTAGTAGGTTGTACGTTTCTAGGAATAGCCATTTCTTCCAACTTGTCTAATTGTTCATAGTAGTTTCTTAGATCTTCAGTATTTTTGTTGTATCAGTTGTAATGTCACATCTCCTTTCTGATTTTATTTATTTGAGTCTTCTCTCTTTTTGTTCCTTGATCTAGCTAAAGGTTTGTCAATTTTGTTTATCTTTTCAAAAAACTAGCTCTTAGTTTTGTTGATCTTTTCCATAGTGTTTCTGATATTTGTTATTTCTTTCTTTCTACTATCTTTCATTTCAGTTTGTTCTTCCTTTTATAGTTCCTTGAGGTGTAAAGTTAGGTTGTTTATTTGAGATCTTTCTTTTTTCTTCTTAATGTGGGTGTTTATTGCTATAAAATTCCCTTAGAACTTTTGCAGGGGATGCCTGGGTAGCTCAGTTGCTTAAGTGTCTGCCTTCAGCTGAGGTCATGATCCCATGGTCCTGGGATCAAGTCCCACATTGGGCTACTTGCTCAATGGGGAGTCTGCTTCTCTCTCTGCCTGCTTCTCCCTCTGCCTACCTTTCTCTCTCCCTCTCTCTCTCTCTGACAAATAAATAAATAAAATCTTTAAAGAAAAAAAAAATAGAACTACTTATGCTATATCCCATAAGTTTTATTATGTTGCATTTCCATTTTTATTTGTTTCAAGATATTTTTTTTTATTTCCCTTTTGATTTCCTCTTTAACCCATTAGTTTTGCAAGCATGTATTGTTTAATTTCCACTACTTGTGAATTTTCAAGTTTTCTTCCTGTTATGAATTTCTAGTTTCATACCATTGTGGTGAGAAAAGATACTTGGTATGATTTTAATCTTCTTAAATTTGTAAGGCTTGTTTTGTGACCTAATATATAATCTAGCCTTGAGAATGTTCCGTATGCATTTGAGAAGACTGTGTGTTCTGCTCTGTTGGGTGGGATTTCTGATATGTCTTTCAGGTCCATTTGGTCTAAAGCATAGCTCAAGTTCAGTGTATCCTTGCTGATTTCCTGTCTGGATAAGTTATCCATTGTTGAAAGTAGAATACTAAAGTTCCCTACTATTATTAAATTGCTTCTATTTCTTCATTCAGATCTGTTAGTATTTGCTTAATATTAGGTTCTCCGATATTGGATCTCTCTCTCTCTCTAGAGAGAGAGAGATAGATATAGAGACATAGAGTATAGAGGTATATATTTACAATTGTTATAGTCTGATGACTATCCCCCTTTATCAGTGATGAATTGACCCTTTTATCAGTATATGACCTTCTTTGTCTCTTGTTACAGTTTTTGACTTAAATTTTATTTTATCTGATATAAGTATAGCTAACTCTGCTCTCTTTTGGTTTCCATTTGCATGGAGTATCTTTTTCCATTCCTTAAGATGTATGTGTCCTTAAAGCTGGTGTGAATCTCTTGTAGGGAGCAGTGTGTAGCAGCATTTTTTTTTTTTAATTCATTCATTCCCTCTATGCCTTTTGATTGGAGAATTTAATCCATTTATGTTTAAAGTAATTATTGATAGGTAAGGACTTACTAATGCCATCTTATTAATTGTTTTTTTGGCTGTTCCCTTGTTCCTTTCTTCCTCTTTTGCTATGTTCCTTTGTGAATTGATTTTCTATAGTGGTATGCTTTGACTCCCTTCTCTTTATCTTTTGTGGGTTTTTGCTTTGTGGTTACATGAGGCTTACATAAAATATCTTATTGCTTATTTTAGGCTGATAACAACTGAATTTTGATCATATACAAAAACTCTACCCTTTTACTTACATCTCCATGTTTTATGTTTTTGGTGTCATAATAGACCTCTTTCTATGTGTGTATCATTAACCAATTATTGCAGCTAAAGTTATTTTTAGTACTTCTGTCCTTTAACTTTTCTATTCAAGTTAAGTGATTTATACACCATTATATTCCAGTAGTAGAGTATCTTGAAATTGACTATATATTTACCTTTATTGGTGTGTTTTATACCAGTGTACATGTGCTTAAACTTCATAAACTAAGCCTTAAGTTTGTAATGTTCAGTTTCTGATTCCTGTCTGAGTGGTTGCTTTACAGTGTTTGAAACCCTTAAAGCTTCAGTTTGCATCATGAGAATCCCAAAGACACACAGTCCCGACTTTGATCCCCCAACTACAAAACAATCCTTTTTCTTTTGGCCTTGAGCTCATCATTTTACAACAGTGGACAGGCCTCTATGAGCCCCAAAGAATTCTAAGGCATTCAGAACTTGTAAACAGAGAGGGGGCTAGGACGGGAGGTCACAGGATCAGGATGTGAGTTGATGAGAGCTTTCCAGTGTTTCTGTTATGGCTGAGAGAGAGACACGTTTCCATGACAACTGAAGTGTGTGGGTGGGAGAAGGGATGGCTGACACACTCTGGCTGTAGTTGGTTTCCCTTTCTTGCTCTTTCTGGTGTGTCAGTGGCCTTCTCTGAACAGATAGAATTAAGTGTTGTTGTTTTCAATTTTGTTTGGGACTTAGGCTAAAACAGAAATTGTACATGATAGCTCATGGGATGCTAAAGCAGAAATTAACACCTCAAGAATTATCTTCTCATTCATAGATGAAGACACTGAAGCTCAGAGAGGTGGTTCTGTTCGATGTGGGGTCTACCATCTAGTAAGTGGCAGAACTCAGAGAAAAGCCCAGGTCTTCATTCCTTTCTCCTTCACCTGAGCAATTTGATGCACATTTTACTGGGAAGAACTGGAATAATTTCTTACGAGGATTTAGTGCTGTACACACAAATCAACATTTCGAAGCTTGTTCTGACTTTCTTTTTATGAGTTTTAAATATGGTATAATGGCCATACAAAATAAATCTTCAGATTCCAAACGTGACAGTGTCCTTGAGCTCCATTCTCTCTTGGATTACAAGGACATATTTCTATTTTATTGCAAATTGAACATAAGCAGCTTTACTACACAGCCAGGAGTTTAACAAGATCATTTTAAGTTGCAACCCTCTCCACTTTTATCTTGAATGAACTTGAGGTTGTGCGTGTGTATAATCATTTTCAGTGGTATATTTCACCTGTCTCTGAAAGGACTGTGGACAGTTCCCTGGTGGTCTCACACTGTAGATTTATGCCCTCTGTACTGTTTTCATTTCTAGGACCAGATCTTTATGGAAAATGTGGGTGCAGTGAAGCAGCTCTGCAAACTAACCAACAACCTTGAAGAAAGGATAGAAGAGTTAGAAATATGGAACAGAAAGCTGGCCAGGCTGAAGCGGCTCAGTATTTGCAAGTCCTCAGCCAGCGAAGCAAGCTCCATCAGGTACATCCCCAAGTGCCATAGGAGTCGGGAGGAAGGAGAGAATGGGGCCTTTCCATAACTAGATGCAACGAAATGGTCTTTCCGATCCAGCAGCAACCATCACTCTCCGATGATGCCATCCCTCCTCTCTTTTTAGAATGTTTTGGAACACAATTGCCTTATGTGGTAATTTTCTTATTTTTTTCTGTTGTTGCTTTAAAAAGGAAACAAAACACAAAGTATCTGTTTAAGAGCAAGGTATTATAGGAAATGTTACATTTTAGCAAAGGATGACTTCTCCTTTAAGGAGGAGAAGTGGTCTTTTCTAAATTTAGAAAATCATGTTTGGTTCTCAGGGAAAAAATTTCTAGTTTTTGTTTTGTTTTGTTTTGTTTTTTTCATTACTTAAGGAGGGAAATGCACATTTCCTGGGGTCTAATTATGAGAAAAAGAAAAATATAAGGTTTAATGCATTCATTTATGCTTACTAAGGTTCTTTTCCACAAAAGGAACTCTCAATTGCCTTGACTTTCCCTTTTTTAAATTAGCACTGTATTACAAAAAAAAAGTCATACTGCTTGCTGTGTTAGTGGCAGCCAGGGCTTTTGTCTTATAACTCCTGGAGAGGCATTTGAATCGTAATTAACATTCTCTCTCTTTTTTTAAAGCAAATTTAGCAGAGCTGTTAGTGCATCTTCTCCAAGAAGGGCCCTTCCCCCAAAAAACAACAAGGTAAATAGACTTAAATTTGTAATGAACAGTGATGATGTTTTCTATACACCACCACCCCCAAAGTCTTTAGAGAAATTGATCAAGAATGCTTTTCTTTATTTATTTGCTGATAGACTCCCTAGTTTGCATCCTTATACACTTAAGGTTTTTTTTTGGTTTTTTTTTTTTTAAGATTTTATTTATTTATTTGAGAGAAAGAGAGACAGAGCGTGAGCGGTGGATAGAGGGAGAGGGAGAAGCAGACTGCCTGGGGAGCGTGATGCAGGGCTTGATTCCAGGACCCTGAGATCATGACCTGAGCTGAAGGCAGATGCTTAACCGACTGAGCCATCCAAGTGCCCCAACACTTTAGGTATTTAAATACTACCCCTTTATTAGAAACTAACTGTTTTTTCAAAAAGATGTTTAGAGAAATGAGTACAAAACATGTTCATTTCAGAAATACTCTTCTGCCAGTTTTTGTTTATACTGCCCCACCCCCAAGTGAAATTCATCAGCCTCCACTTGCATATGGCCCTTGGCTATAAGGTCTATGTGGATGCCTTAACTGAACTAACTCCTTACCTATGGCTTCAGAAGATCCCAGAGGGACTTCCATTAATCCCCAAATCCCTCTTGTCCCTTTGATATTTAGTACTGTTCGTGCAAATGGGGAAACAGGTATTCACTTTCTTGCAAAGGTAAAGTGTAATGGCTTTATTAATGAATAAAGAGAGCTTTTATCAAACAGGGTGACATATACAGTAAATGGACAGTAAAAGGTGGAGGTTAATCATTTAATAATTTAAAGTACACCCTCTCCAGTGCAGAGAAGTGTCAGTGAGGGAGAAGCTACAATATTCCCTTCCTAGCTGCAATTCATAGACAGATAGCTGTGAGACTCAGCTTGCTCCCTCCGACCCACCAGTGTTGCACAGGTGGCCCTTCCCAGGAGAAGATATTCATGACCTTCATCTATATCCTGGTAAGGGCTGACCTGGTGTGTGGGCCATTGCCCCCTTTTATCTCTACTCATGTTATACTGCACTGACCTATTCTAAAAGGATTCAGAGAGAGTTTACTATTCTACTAAAAACTGCTAAAATGTTATGTTGCTGACAAGCTACTTGGTATACCAATAAACATAAATACTTGGATAAATATATATGTAGAAGTGTCCTTGGGCAAGTTACTTAATTGCATTGAGAAATATAATAATAGTATCTATCTTGCAAAGATTAGTGATAGGATTAAATAAGGTGAAGCCCTTAGCCACAGTGCCCAGCACATAGCAGTTTGCTCAATAAACACAAACTATTAAAAATATTGTGTAAGAAAGGTGCCCTTTGTACTAACCAGTTTGCAGTGGGATGGAGGGGATGGTACCTACATCCATGGTGGCCCTGATTGGTACGATTTGGTCACGTGCAACCTCTGTAGCTCTCACTTTGCACCCAGGGAATCTCTTTATTTTGCAGTTATCCCAGAATATTAACTAGAATGTGTCATTCATGAGAACAGGCCCCATGTCTGCCTTCCTCACTCTGCATCCCCAGGGACTGGCATATAGTAGGTACTCAAGAAATATTTGTTAAATGAATGCATGAATGGAAAGCCCAGTCTGATAATCTTTCCTGAGGATTAAAAACATTAAGTGGTTCAGTGTCTTGGGTATGGTGGGGGTGGGGTGGGGGTGGGAAGGGGGTTGGATTGTAGACACAGTAGAGGATTTATGTAGGTATTAAAGGGCACTCATTCAACTCAGAGGCCTCTTATAGTCCCTGTCATAAGCTTGTGGGAGGCAGACAAAGGTGAGTAAGACATGGCCCCTTCTGAGGAATTTCTAGGTAGCCAGGGAAGATCAGAGGACAATACAAAGAACAGTTGTATCTGGATGTGGTAAATATTGCAAAGCCTCAGAGTGCTGCATTATGGGGGCCGGGCCTTCCAGGAGGAGTAAGCTCTGGCTAGGTAGAGGAGAGGTTCCAGAGGAGACAGAATAAGCAAAGATCTGGGGGCTGGCACTGGCTTCATTGCAGGATTAGGTGAGAGTTGGTTAGGGAGGAGAGTAGAAGATACAGCTGAGAATCTAGGTAGGGCTCAGATATCCTGCACCACCTGGTAAGGAGTTCACTTGGTAAGCCGTGAAAACCTTCTGAGTAATAACAATAATATCTAAGTTGTAGAGTGTTCTCTTGCTTTACAGGCAGAAAAAGGGAGGCAGCATTGCACGGTGGTTAGGAGCACAGATTCTGGAGCCAAATGTTTGATGGTTTAATCCTGGCTCGGTGACTTACTAGCCGTGTGATCTTACATAAGGAACTTAGCCTTCATTTTTTCCCTTCTCCATAAATTGGGGATGATAACATTACCTGCCTCATAAGATTGTTAAGGATTATCATGAGGGCTAAATAAATTAGTATATATAGTGGAAAAAAGAAAAATAAATTAGTAGATATAAAGCACTCAGAAGAGAATATGGCACGTAATAAGTGCTATATAAGAGTTCACTCTTTTTTTTTTAATTTAGTAGGCTCCATGTCCAGCATTAAGCCCAGTGCAGGGCTTGAACTCATGACCTTGAGATTGAGACCTGAGCTGAGATCAAGAGTCAGATGCTTAACCAACTGAGCCACCCAAGCACCCCAAGTGTTCACTCTTATTAGCATTTTCAAACCCACTATCTGAGTGGTTCTCATACTTTGGCATGTTATCAGAGTCTTCCAGGGAGCTTGATAAAGTACAAGTAATGGGGATGTTTTGCTTCCCCTGTGCTGTCTTTGCAGGAGGTCTTGGCTATTTCCCTGAGGTTCACTTTCCCTTCCATGACACCAACCCCTAGGTATCCTCTGTTCTCCAGAGCCTCTGTGATCATTGGGCCATTGAAACATATGTGTGTAGGGGGAGTGTGCTACTCTTGGGTTGGGTGGGTACATTCATGAGCAAAGTGCTGGCTGTGAGCAGTCTGTGGGTAATTCTCATGTGGACCTGAATTTGAGAACCATTGCAGGATTAGTTGGACCCACCCAATAACTCTGAAAATGTTGGCAGGTATTATTTTATCATTCCTGTCTTATTGAGGAGGGAAATGAGGATCAATGACATTTAAATGACTTGTTCAACACCTGGCCCCAAGCCTGACTCCAGGTCTCAGGTCATTTCCCTACACTAGGTCAAAGGATTTGAAGCAAAAGCATGGAGATTGAAAATAATCCAGCAGCTGTGGGGAGTAGGTTGGAGGGGGGAACTCTTACCTGAGACGAATGCTATTTAACGCCAGTCGATTTAACAAATTTCACTGAGTCCCTTCTCTGCCCAGCACATTATTAGACTCTCCTCTGAACAGTTCCAGTGAGATGTAAGAATGGTATAAGCTGTTCACTTCTTGGTATTCAGAGTGGCTTCCAGCTGCCCTATGGGTGACTCAGTTATAGGAGCCCTACGGGTTTGTATATTTGTTAAAAGCTTATATGATTAATCCCACCCCAATATAACACTGAGGAACACTTTATTTACTCAGATAACCAGCCCAAGAAATTCAAATAAAGACCAATTTTAAACTATTTCTTAACGACCACCAACCTCCCATTCTCTTCCAGCCAAAAGCATGACTCTACCCTGTACCCCGCAGAAGGAAGCAAACATAACACTCCCTATTGCATTAAGAGTGAAGCTCCCATTTCAGGGGCACCTTATTCAAGTGGGCAGAAAACCTCTCCTATCTTTTCAGCCAGATTCACCACCAATTGCACAGCTGTCTGTTCTGTAGTTCCTGGCCCATTCCTCATATGCAAGTTTTTATGGCATAAAAAGCAAGTTTTTATGCCAATATGTATCCGTCTTAGAGGTTTGCCTCATTGGCTTCCTAGAGACTGTAACTTACTTATTTTTAGATTCCCTATAGTGTTATACAGAATAGTGCTTAATAAATGTTTGTTGAATGGGTATAAGGATCAATAAGACTCAGGCTCAGAACTGTCCTTAAAAATAGGTAGCAGTATTGAATACTGATGTGTATGATTTAAAGAGTACTTTTTATTTCGGACCATAAAAGTCTTTTCCATGATGTGTCAGGATGCCTGAAACTCTTCTGTTGGAATTTATTCCATCATGTCTTGAAGACTTTTTGGTTTTCCGAAGTGTTGTAGTAAAGGAGATGAACATCTGGGTTCTGACAGTATCTTGTCTGATATGTCCTCTGCTCTCATAAAACTTTAAGAAGAAGCACCAAATGAATGGCTCAGACACGGGTCCTGCAGTATGCTAGCAAAAAGACAAATGACTATAAGCTGGAGTGTCAAGGAAAGGGAGAGGCTTGAGCTAGGCTTTGGAAGAACTTCCTTTTCAGGGGGCAGACCGCAGGAAGATGTAGGCTGGAGAGAGTGCACTGGCCAGCCCACTGGGAGGCAAAGATCCCTGCTGGGAGCGAGTCTTCAGGGGTCCTTCTCCCAATTGGCATTGCTGATTTATCGCGGCTCCTGACTGAATCTTTTTTACAGGTTTATTTTTCAGGAAAAAAACAGTTGTGTCCTAACTGGGTTTTCCAGACCTTGGTTATAACTCTCATTGCTGTGATGGCATTTTGGTAAGAAAAATTTCAGTGTTGTGCTCTGTCAAGCTCTTTTTTTTTCTTCCCATCTTCCTTTTCTCATCTATCAACTGGGGACTGACCTATGTACTTTGAAGACAGGGAGCCCTTTAACTGGGCATTGACCTTGGATTTAGCTTAGAGATAAGGGAGCCCTTTTTTTAAAAAAAAGATTTTATTTATTTACTTGAGAGAGAGACAGAGAAAGGACAAGCAGCAGAGGGAGGAAGCAGGCTCCCGGCTGAGCAGGGAGCCCGATGCAGGACTCGATCCCAGGACCCTGGGATCATGACCTGAGCTGAAGGCAAACGCTTAACTGACTGAGCCACCCAGGTGCCCTGAGGGGGCCCTTTTTAAACTCCTATTCTGAAAAAAAAAAACAAACCATGGGCTTTCTGTACTTAAATGTGAGATGAAGGATGATTCTTTTTTTCAATCAATTGATAATTTTTAGTATCTCACTATGCTGTGTGTGTGTGTGTGTGTGTGTGTTTGTTTCAGTCTTACAAATAATTGTCTGAAGTTGTTAGTTCTCTTTCCTGTCTACTTGGGGGAACAGAGCGAGAGGGCAATCAGGGACAATCTGTTCTCCCCTGGACACTCCCATTTGTTAGGCTTCTTCTAGATTCTTCAGTGAAGACGTCACATGAAAGGGACTATGAGGTAACCCCAAGATCTACAATATATGCATCTGTAGCCAAATGTACTCAGCCGCGGAAGCGAGCAAACACAGTGAGGATGAAGGATTTGCTGCAAGCAGGGGGGGACTTGCGTGCCATCGGACCTCTGCAGGGCGCTGGGAGGCATCCCTTACTGGGATGCAGGGCTCTTCCCCTGGGCTCTGGTCTGTAGGCACCTGCGGCTGGGATGGCCCCTCAGGCTTCGGGCCTTAGTCATCCTGCCTGTGTCCTCTGGGCCTTCTTGTTCTCAGTCTATTTGCATGGTCGCAGGGCTATTTTCACAGGGGTATTTATCTATCTCTCAAAAAATGCTTTATGAGTGTTAGAAAGGACTGCCTTGGGGCCTTGTCTCAAGGGAGACAGTCGTTCTCAGAGGCAAAGTAAGGGGCGGTGCCGAGGTGCTGGTAGTTCCGTGCTCTAACGCAGCCTCCTAGCTGTAGAGGACAGTGTGAGTCTGTCTCTGTACCCTCCCCTCCCCTCAGCATTTCAGCTTTTCACTTGCAACTGCCCATTGTACACAACATCCGCAAGGATCTGACACCACGACACAGAATCCCCGTTCGAAGCCGTTGTCTTTCTCTCACTCTCCTACGTGAGCTGTCCTCTGCCGGGATTCCCAGCTCGGGAGAGTGTGAGCATCCACTTTAGCAGACATACGGAGTAGCATTCTCTAGAGAGGCAGAGTCGCATGAAAACCCAACGGCAGGGTGATAGGAAGTCTAATTTGGATGCACAGAGACTGCTTTTTAAACACGCTTATCAGAATTATCTTATGAATTCCAATACTGTTGTCCACTAAGATCATAAGTGGGAGGTTATTGGGCTTGTTATTTTGTTTCTGGCCTGTGGTGGCAAGAAGAGTCAAAACCAGAATTTGCCCCCAAAGAAAGGAACAGATGTCCATGTCATTCCACAATTCTAGAAGTTCTCTGGGTCATGCACTGAAGTAGATGCCAGAGACAAATTAGAAAGAGCTCTTCAGGGCGCCTGGGTGGCTCAGTTGGTTAAGAGACTGCCTTCGGCTCAGGTCATGATCCTGGAGTCCCGGGATTGAGTCCCGCATCGGGCTCCCTGCTCGGCGGGGAGTCTGCTTCTCCCTCTGACCCTCCCCCCTTTCATGTGCTTGCTCTCTCTCATTCTCTCTCTCTCTCAAATAAATAAATAAAATCTTTAAAAAAAAAAAAGAGCTCTTCAGGATTAGTTATAGGGAAATAGCGGGGGAGAACAAAGAGAGGGAGACTGGATCACAGCAAGCAGTTGCCAGGGCGACACACCGGATTCTGTCTGATAGCATCTTTGGGGCTCAGCACCACTTTCCCCAGACAGGGTTGTGCCTGCTGGGCAGTAACCAGCTGCTGCTGAGAACACTCTGGAAATTTTTTCTTTATGAATGGAATTCAAACGCATGGCACATTTCCTCGTGTATATTTAATAATAGTAAACCCACCACCTTTGAGTGGGAGCTATATGACGAGGGGTCGAGTCTAGGGAGCCAGGTGTATAGTCAACCTAGCAGCAAGTCCAGTCAGGTCACCCTGTGTCAGACCCAGCGCACAGTGGGATTGTAATGTGGTCGGCGGACTCTCCTGTGCGGCTCACGAGAGAGGTCCAGAGACACACACCCCTGTGAGAAGAAAATGCTAGGTGTTTGGATGCATGAGCATTGGGAGAATAGCTTCCCCGGGCTCCGAACCTTTCAGAAAAGCTTCTGTTTGAATATGTAAGTTCTGATAATTGGAGGAAAGAGAGTCATTATTTTGAAGTCACACAGTGTGGAAATGGATGCTACATTGCATTTCTTCTTCCTCTCTCCTCCAACTTGGCGCTTTGGCTCTGAAAAGACAGGCAGCCGGAAGATGTCAGAGAAGCAGCCAAGGGGTTGGCGTCTACAGCTGACTAAACCCGGGTGGCCTTTCGGGGCCACAGGGCGGACGCCCCCCGCCAGTGGGATGTGAACTCTGCTCTGACTTTTTCCTGCAAGGAGCAGGGGCTGCCTCCAGTGATTTACAGCTTCCGCTCATAATCTTCCACCTGTGACAGATGCTTCTGAGGCAGCTTGCAGGGCCAGGGGGCTGCTCTCCGGAAAAATCCATCAGTGAGGAGTACCCCAGAGACTCTTTGCTCTAGGAAGGTGAGGGCCTCTGCCCTGAAGCAGAACGGTGCTGGTTTCCATGGTGCGACTCTCAGCCGAGGCCGCACCCCTCCCATCTGTGTAGCCTGTGACAGTGTAATCTCTGACCGGCTGGTTGTGTGAGATGGAGATGAACTCAAATCTGGCACATAATGCTTCCTTCTTCTTCTTTTTTTTTTTTAACAGTGCCTTGACGATAGTCTCCCTGTACATACTTAGCTTAAAAGATCAAAATCAACGTGCCCCAAGTCTCCCTCCGAGGTGAGAGTTTTGGTCTTGTTTTCCTCTGGAGAGAAGGATTCTTGAAGGCCTCCTTCGGTGATCACTTTGTTTTCTTCCTCCAGCAATATCACAAGCCCTCAGGAGCCCGCCCTGCCGCCCACAGCCTCTCCCACAGGTGAGATTTAAGATTTTCGCATTCCTCACTCTCAAATCCAGCCCCATGTTTCCGGTGAATTGTCGACAAAAGAACCAGCCTTTCAGGTTAACCTTGTCACTTCCCTCCTCTCTGCCCAATGCTCTGCAGCACCCAATACGTCCCTGGTGACCACACAGTCCTCCTTCCAAGTACCAGAAATCACTTTCTGTGAGATCCTGCCCTGTCAGGAGACTTACTGCTGCCCCATCCAGGGAAAGAGAAGAGTCCCCTCCAGTCCTGCGCGAAGGTGGTCTCAGGAGGAGGAAACCCATCAGAGGCTGTGGGCAGGTAAAGGATGTTCAAAGAGAAGCCCCTGGACTCTGAAACCTGACATGTTTTTCTTTGCAAATATCTCCTTGCCTAATCTGTTAATGGTTCCAGACAATGGTTCTACTCTTCTCTTTAGGGTGGCAGGCTCTTTAAAAACCCAAGTGCACAAACTTGCAGTCCCCTTATAATATTGAGTTCCCTGCCCAGGGATGAAATTATGGCTGAGTAAGTGAAAAGATATCATTTGTCTCATTTGTCCATTGCCAACAACATTAGTAGTAGTAGAACATGTAAAGTAATCCTGGGTGGTTGGGTAGATTTTCTGGCTCACTTAGAACTTATAAAATGATGTCGAATCTGGGCTTTCTGCCCAAACCAAGTAGGGCAACATGTAAAAGGCTTTGGAACTCTAATGAGTTCAGGATAAGCTGCAAGTCTGAAAATCACAACCACTGTCAGAATATCTACTTCTTCCTCCTAGGGACACACACACACACACAGAATTTTTTTTTAAGAAGCAGATTTTTCCTGTTAAAAAATTATGGAGGCTTGGTCAAGGGTTAAAACTATAATTATCTCTGTAATGGAATCCAAATGTATAATTATCTCGGTAATGGAATCCAAATGTATACTAATTCATTATTGTTTTTGCGAACCTTCTGCACATCCCCAAGTCTATAGAATAATGATGACAGTAATAGCAGTAGATACATATTAGCATGGCTTATCTATCAGGATGCTGTGGGGACAGCAGCCTCCAAATTACAGTGGCATAATGTGGCAAAAATTTATTTCTGACTCTCTATGTCAGATGTGGATCAAAAGAGGGCTCTCACTCATCACATCCTTTAGAACCTCACTGATGGAGACTCCATCTCAATCTGTATTTCTGCAATCTCTGTAGCAGTGGTAAGAGAACACGGCTCTTAAAGCTCCCACCTAGGTGTAGCACATGTCACTTCTGCTTACATTTTATTGGCTAAAGCAAGTGACATTGGTCATGTCTCATTTAAAAACGGTTGATAAAGTGCAGCCCTAACGTATGCCTAGAAGAAGATGAACTAGAATATTTTTGAGCAGTCCAAATGACTGACATGTACAATATGGTCATTGGTTGAAGTTTGGGGGCAACAGTGTGATTTCTTTTTCCTTTTGATATTATTGCATAACCTAGAGTTGAATAACTTTTACGAATCATCATCATCATCATCATCATCATCATCATCATATAATGAGCTATTACTGTATACAAATGCACAGCCGTAAGGAATCTACATGAATAAACCATTCCATCCCCACAAGCCTAAAAGATAGGCACTGTTACCTCCTTTCTTTCCAATGAGGAGATGAGGCATAGAGAGTTTTTCCCTGCGCCTGTAGGAGGCAGTGCTCGTACTGTTTTTCTCATGAAAGCAACTTTTGATTGAACTTGGGAACAGATACATCACTATAGGGCAAAGATAAAGCTTCACCGTGAAGAAATGAATGTGTTTCTGTCATCATATCCTCCGTAGTTTCAAATATGGAAAAGTCCAGTGCTGTTTAAAAAAAAATCCCCCAAAGCCTTCATCTCTTGCAAAAGCACATGAACCCTTGTGGCTGTAAACCCTTCTCCTACCTTGGGAGTCCACCTTGGGTATACTCTGTGGCCTTTTCTGAGAGCAGTCCTCAGAAGAGACCATCTCACCTATGAGAGATGTGTAACCATGGATCCTGCACAGGAAGAGGTCATGGACTGATCCAATCTTCATTTTCAAAAATGTTCTTGACCCTTGAGCAAACTCCTTCCTGTAGCAACCAGCTCTCCCCATGGAGGGCAGAGCAGCCTTATCAAACTGGATGGAGGTTCATTGCTCTCCTCTCTGGGACACTAGGTGCCTGCGTGTCTTACATTGCCTAAGTATGGGGGACACTGAACAGACTCCTAGAGAAAGAAGGGCTGCTCCACAGTGCCTGGCTGTGTCCTCCTAGGCACAGTCACCAGCTTCTCTGGCTAAAAGTGAAATGTAAGTCCTGCCTTACCGGGCTCCCCGATACGCGGGCAGAATTGTTCCCTCCTCCCTCTTTCAGCTGGAGAAAGATAGAGAGGATTTACGTGTTCTCTTCACTGCACCTTCTAGAAACCTGCAAACTTTTGGGGATTTAGAGTCTTGTAGAAAGTCAGAGAGCAAGCAGTACACCAGTGGTACCTAACTTTTTGACCTGTAGAATCTACTATTAATTCATTATTCTTTTACAGTTATTTGGCTGAGAAAATACATAAAAGGAGAATGTTAAACTCAGTTAAGCTTTAGTCAAATAATTTTTGTTAGTCCGACAGCAACATTTGAAGAATAGTACAAATCCGTGGGAGAGTTGTTACTTCTCAAGTGCGCAAACACCACTGACCACTTTATGCAATCACCTGGGTTTCCAAGGACTGGGTCAGGAAAACCTCTGATTGATACCAGCTTACCCATTTTCCAGCTGATGAAATGGAGGCCCAGGACCTTGCTTAAGGTTCTGCAGTAAGTTACTAGCAAAGTTGGAACAGGAACCTGAGTCCCCTGTCTCCCTGTCCTGGGTTTCTGCCCATCTACCATTGTGCCTCCATGTATTTGGCACTGTGTGCACATGTACCAGGGATCAACTCTAGAGGAAGCTGAAAGTAGTCACTCTGTGGTTCTAGAAAGTCCCTTCGGCATCCCCCTCCCCCAAGTTTGCCTATAGCTACTGAGATGTCCCCGATGTGGTGTGTTTCTGGGGGTGTAAAGAAAGCCTCTTCTCTTCTGCTGCTGGTCCATCCTTCCCCTCTGTCCTGGGCACTGTATGACCCTGGGGTTCCTAAATCTGAAAGTGGAGAAAGCCAGGCAAACTCTTTCAACAGATGTTTCTGAGGCATTCACAACTAACTAAAAATTAAAGAATAGGGATGCCTGGGTGGCTCAGTCTGTTGAGCGTCTGCCTTCGGCTCAGGTCATGATCCCAGGGTCCTGGGATCGAGTCACACGCATCAGGCTCCCTGCTCAGCGGGGAGCCTGCTTCTCCCTCTGCCTGCCATCCCCCTGCTTGTGTTCGCTATCTTTCTCTGACAAATAAATGGAATCTTTAAAAAAAAAAATTAAAGGATAAAAATTTTAAAAAGAAATTCAAGGGTTAAGAAAAAAAAAAAAGTTGGAATAACTCTCTAGGATGAAGAGTAATATCTAGCAGTTTACCAAGCCCCAGAACACACTTATGAGCTTCTTTCCTAAGGAGTAAGACCACTAGTGAAATAAGGGAAGGGAAATCAGTATTTTTATGATATGCTGAGGGCAAGCCATTATTCTTCTTTTGGGCCCAAGCTGATTGTGTAAAATGTCTTTCAGAAAGGTTATCGCCTCTCCCCACTTAATATAAAAGGTTTGGGTAAGACTAATCAAGAGGTGGAGAGTGGGTATTTTGGAGTATTGAACTTCCACTCTGAGGAGCCAACTGAGTGTGATGGATTAGATTTTAATCTATGGAACCAATAAAGACTTAAATAGAGAGAGTTAGATATGAAAAAGTAAAGAGCTTGTGAGGAGAATATGGAATTCTACAGATGTTAAGGATTTTGGTGAAGATTTAAAAATCTCATAAAACAAAAAGGCTATGAGAATTCATGCTTATTTTGTTTTGGAGATCAGAACTCTGAGAAGAGCAAATGGCAGAAAGAAACTGGCTCCCTGTGTTAAAGGACACCAGTCATCAACTGGTTGGGCTCATTGACTTTTTCTTGGCATGAGTCTGGTTCAATCAGGAAAGAAAAAGGTATCCAAGATGCTGTTTTGGAACTCAGCCATACAGCACAATTTTATAAGTAATGCTATATACACATTCTACCACAACAGGATATGCTTTGGTTGGACACCATCTTAAATCTCTCCTTTCCAGAAGTTTCTAATTTAGTTTATTGGGAGATCTTTTCCGCTGATTGCGAAATCTATCTCCAGCTTCACAGTGAAAAACCACTGGGAGTGTATATTAAGTTTATAGTGAATATTACTGGAAGGCATTTATAAAATGAGAGCCACCCCTGTTTGACTACAGGAGAGTTAATGGTTTTCCGATAATTAGCCTTTCGGAATTGAATAGTCTTGCCTCAGAGAAGTGACAAATTGGAGATGTTCTATAGGAGATTTAAAATTTATTTCCAATCCTGAGTCTGAAAAGCCATTTTCATAATTCTAATCTGCAAGATTATCTCTCAAATTTACCTTTTTATTACTGTTTTTAAAACTACTGTTATCCCATCAGATACTAAATTCTATCATAGGATTCTATGTCTCCAGGAACCTGGAAACATGCTTCTGTGAAAATGAGGCAACTCTGTAATTCTGTTGCCAAAATTTATAATGAGCCCTGTTCCTGCAAATTCAGTGGAAAAGTAGGGAAAAAAAGGTAAAGGATGAAAACAGACCGGATGGAGAAATTCTGGTTTCCCCTTCTTTTTATGTTTCATTTGCCGTATAAATTCACATCCTTCTGTGGGAGCAATCATAAGCAAAACTCATAGCAGGGGACATGTGCTTGACAATTATTACTGGAATAGCTGGAATCCAAGAAATCTAGAGGCTTTTTGGACAGCACATATATTTGTATCTAAAGGGAAATATATATTCAATTTTCTAGAAAATCCTCATGTATCAAGATCCATTTCTTTTTAATGAAAGGCTCATGTTAGGCAAGATGCTCAGGAAACCTGCCTCTCCTTCAAATTCTGTCTCACTCCCCTTTGCCAACAGGATGAAGGAGCTCAGGCTCCCATGTCCATTCCCAGCATCCCCTCTGCACCCATCTGCTGGCGATTTCCCCTTTGAGTGTGTAAGAGGAAACATTTTTCTGGAGGGTATATGATTGACTCTTCTTCCTCCTTCCCTGCCCCTCTTCCTTCCATCCTCCCACAAATATTTGTTGAGGGCCTGCAGAGAGCCCAGGATTGCCTTGCCTGGGGCGATGGCAAGGTGCACAAGATGCTGGCAGGCTTCTAGAAGCTCACAGTTTTGTGGACAGGTAAACAAGCCCGTGTGCCTAGTGTAAGAAGTACTAACCAGAGCAGATTTACTTAGGAGTGATGGCGCCCAAGTAACATGCACTCTAGCCTTTGCTTTCCTGAAATTCCACACAGAAACTTGAATAGAAACTTGTTTTAGATCTCGCCTCCCTTTGCTTCCTATGCAAGCAGCACACCTTGTATTAACTTATGTCTCTTGTTAAATGAGGTTACTGTCTTTGTGTTTTGCCCCAAACTATGTTGAAAAATATAAACATTATTTAATGCAAATGAAGGAATACAGTGAACAGTACATATACTTGAGAAAAAATCAGCAAATTAAAAAAAATTCAGAATTCTTTTTAAAGACTTGTTTAGCAACCCACTAAATAATTGCCTTCACCATTCACTTTAAGAAGATGTTTTTCCCCCCAAAACCTTACCAACAATCCTCTGAATAGTTACCTTTCCAAAACTGCTTTTAAACTGCCTTTTCGGCTATGACAGGGCAAAACCACTCCCCCGCTTCCTTCTGCACAAGCCAGCTCCGCTACCTCCCCCTCCCCCCGTCCCCCGCATCTCTCTTTTTTCCTGTGTGGATCACATTATGCTAGGAGTTACCTAGGAATCAGAGAATTTTAATAGAGGTTCCCTATTCTGGAGTTGTCAAGAAAGGGCAAAATACATACAAGTTAAGTAATAAAACAGATGACATGCTTCTGATGTGGTGACAGATGACTAACTGATCACCCCCTGGATGGTTAAGGCAGTAATGGCATGACATCAGAACGGAGGGGCCGTGCGATCCGCTATAACACAGTACCACAGGCTGGGCAACTCCAGAAACAAAATTTATTTTCTCACAGTTCTGGAGGCAGGAAGTCCAAAATCAGGGTGTTAGCAGGTCTGGTTTCTGGACTCACAGATAGCCACCTTTGCGCTGTGTCCTTGCAAGTTCTTTCCTCTCTGCCCGTCCTGTCCTTGGTGTCTCGAGTGTCCTGATCTCTTCTTATAGGGAGGGACACCAGCCAGATTGGATTAGGGCCCAGCGTAACAGCTTCATTTTAACTTAATTGCCTCTGGAAAGGCCCTATCTCGAAGTACAGTCATATTCTGAGAGGTTAGGCTTCAACACAAGAGTTTGGGGAACACAATTCAGCCCAAAACAGATGGCTTCTTGGAGGAAGGTGAGAACATACTAGATCCGTAAGAAATGCGGGTAGGCATTGGATGGGTCGAAAGGTAGGAGAGAGAAAGGGTGTGGAAACATTCAACTGACAGAGACAGAGGGGCACATACTGGGTTTCTTCTCATCCTGACCAAGCCTTAATTAAAGTTTGACAGACTTTTTTTCCTCTTCAGAAGACAGAAGCTTGTTATTCCTGGCAAGAGATGCGCTAACCAGCCCTGACTGGGGGAGTGACTGTAAGTTTACACCTAAGTGACTATTCTTTGACTTCGGGGAGCTGGGCAGAGTAGCAACAGGCTGTAAAAGCATTACAGGAGTGAGGACCAGGGACAAAGGATGCAGCCTGCCCTTGAACACTCATGGGGATTACTTTTATTTATAATCAATGCCAGTCTAACCATTAAGGAGGCGTTAGAGATGGTCGCTCACTACTAGACAAGTGGAGGTTGATCTCCATGGACTTGAATAATTTTTTTGAACTTCCTACCTTCTTGGATTCTGACTGTACTTTTAGCTTGTTTTCTGTTTTCTAAGTTTTTTAAAGCTTTCTTTCTTGGCCAGATAGCATTTCACATTGCACCCTCCATTTTCAATAAATGTCAATTTAGTAGGACTTCCAGGGTCCAGAAATTTTTTTGGATGTTATGGGGCTGCCTTTTGGAATCTGGATTTTTATGAGTTTTCTTAAAATTTACTGTAACAACAACAAAAGCCTTCTCCCTTTCCCTCCCCTTCTTTTTCCATTTGAATGCAAATGGAGCCCATTTATCTAGGAAACTCTTCTTTCACTTTTGGTAAATTGGAGACGTCGCTGAAGCACAATATTCTTCCTCTGCAGAAGAGTTTACTTTCTTTTCTCTATTTCTTCTCAATTCAGGGATTGATACAACCATTAGTTCTATTCAGATCATGGAAATCCAGCAAGTAATAGATCATCGGTATTGTGGCGGAGGCCTCCAGTGCAGGTGGGTAAGCCTCCCCATTCTACCCCGATTGTTTCTGGAATTTACTCAGGGCTCTGGGTTTCTGAGGCTGGAACGAAAGCTAAAACTGCATGGTAAAAATCAGTGTGTGCTTACAATGCTCCTTAAATGAAAACACATTTGTTACATGGTAGACGAGGGGATCATAAAATGGTTGGTGTTAGCAAATGTCAATAAACCACGGTTCCAATGATTCCAGCCTCCCGTTTGAATGGGTGAGTCCAAAGCAAAGAGCTTAGGGGACAGCTCTGTGGTTGACTCTCTGAGGACACATACCATAGGCACAGGGCTGCTGGTTAATTGTATCGACAAGAAAGACATTGTTACTGATGGCTCCAGGTAATGAATGAGCTGACATTTATGCATTTTAATAACAAGGAATAGCATTATTTTAATTGCTAAATAATAAAGCTTATCTTGGCTTTTTCAGTTAGAAGGGGAAAAATCCAGATATTGCAAAAGTTATCAGCAACCTCCATGTCTATTATGTGCCATCCGGTAACGATGCATTTAGAATCTAAGCACAGACTACAAGTAGCTTCAGCTAGCACAGTATGCAAGTTGAAGGCATTAAGAATGGGGACTTATTTTTCTTTCTCCAATAAATATTTATGGGGTGACTGCTAAGTGAAAGGCAAGACCCTGTACTTTGAACTGATGTCACAAATCCTTGGGATTCTCAGCCTGATTTCTTTTGCAACCTGATGTAACTTAGACTTCAAGTTGATGACCCTGAGCTTTAAAAATAAACTATGGTGCTTTATGACTTGTTTATGGCTTTGACATTCATTATCGCATGGAATTCTCCCCAAATCCCTGAGGTTGGTTGATCCCCATTCTGCCGTTAAGGAACCTGAGCTTCAGTGAGCTTAAACAAGTCGGAGACAGACATTAATTACTCTGCTAGGGTGACATAATGAAGAAGAGTGGGATGATTCGGTTTCAAATTCCAGAACTTCAACAAGGTGTTTATTTCCCCTGAGTGTCCATGTCTCATCTCTGCGATGAGGCTGTTGAGTTGGGTTGCTGTGAAGCATGCAGATGCCAGGAGGCACATGGTAGGAAGTGAATTCCATTTATCCTCAGCTTTTTCCTGTAGAACAAGGCTCTCCTGATCCCAATTCAGATCAGTACCTTTTACTTCTGCTTTCTTATTTTTAACAACTTACTTTAGGATTGATTAAAGAGAATCTAAAGTGACAAGCTCTTCTTCCAGTGTATCTGGTTTTAAGTTGTTTCTCCATATAATTCAAGGTGTGGCCAGGTCATAAGAATCTGTGTTAGATACACTCTGCTTTTCTGCTGGAGTGTTCTTTACAGGAGGAATCCCAGGAAGCCCCCCTTTGCCCCAAGTAGTTCCCTTCCAGGGGGCATGGGGGAGGAGCGTCTGTGGATGCACTTCTGTGCTATCGTTTTCTCCATCACAGAATGGGGATTAGGACCGTCATAATGTTAGTTGATTCAAGTTCAGAAAGTGTGTGGTACTTCCTGCTAATGTTGCCTAAAAGGGAGTGATTCAGGGTAGAGAAGCTATTATTCATTATTTTCAGTCCTCCTTTCCAGAGGGATTGTTGGTTTGAGGTCTTTGCCTCAGTTGTCTCCTGAAATTTGTGTCTCCTTAATGGGGAGTCGTTTCCTGTGCACTCGGTTTTATGCATTTGGCCTGGGATTTGGCTTTCCATCATTTTGTCTGTGTGTTCTAACACACCATAAATCTTTGTGGTATAGTTTGTATATTAAGACTTAAAAGAGATCACTTTGAAATTTGACAGGTACGTCTCTGAAAAACATAGAGCTCCACCGTGCTAAATTTGATTCTCTGTGTTTGCTATAGAATATTTCACAGCTTACATAGTATATAATGAGTAACAAAAGCCTTTTGAAGCCTTTCCTGTGTATTTTGATTTGTGGTTTTATTTTTTTCCCCATAATCAGCGCTGGAAATTACAATTACAATATTCCTGTTAATAAGCACACACCTACCAATGTCAAATTCTCTCTGGAAATCAAGTAAGTGCATAACTGTAGAAAACAATTTTGCTTCTGTCACTATCTGAATAGCAAGTCTGAACTTACTTCACAATTTGATCAGTAAGTTAGAGGGTGGGAAGTTATCAGTCTGTGTCGACTGATGCTGTTTGGGTTGAGAGGTGGGCCAGCTTGGGGAAGAATCTTCAAAATGAAGGTTCGAGTCTTCCAGCCTCCCTAAGTGGAATGGAAAGACTCTTGGCTTCACACTCACACCTGTAAAATGGGAGTGACCTTGGGTTTGATGCTCACAAGCTACAGACTACCCCTGTGTCCCTTTGAATTGGGGTGGGAGCAAGAGGAATAGCATAGCCCCCTGGGTAGGGAGCTGCCCATTTTTGTAAGCTCCTGTTAGCAGTGCTAACGCAGATACCACCCCCTTCCCCAGGGGAGTTCAAGGAGTCAGAGTTTAGAGTCGGGCCGACCAGGGTTCAAATTTTGTCTCTGCCACTTACTAATTCTCTGACCTTTTGGAGAAACCATTTATCCTCTCTGAGCTGTTTTTATCTATAAAATGAGTTTGAAATAATACCATAAGAAGTAGAGCTGCTGTGGGAATCACTGTTAATAGTAGTGAAATTAATAACTACCATTTGCTGAGCACAGAGCATATCCAGACACTCTCCACTTTAATAGTGGGTCATATAATCTTCACAATAACCCTCGAGTTCGGTTTTTCTTTTCTAGTTTATATTTTTCAGATGGGAACACTTAGGTTTGGAGAGGTCAAATACACTTGTCCTGAAACTCACAGCTAGTAAGCCATGGAGCTGGGTTTCAAACTCAGCCCATCCTTTAAACCATCACTTTCCTGCCTTCCTGATGAAATGAGAGATGTAAGAATATTGCCCCTTCCTGGCACGTAGTAGGTGCTTCATAAATGGTAGCTTTTATTATGACTACCTTTCCTTCAAAATCACAAAGCTCTAATTTAATCTATTCTTACCAAGTATTTAAAATAATTACGGTACTTTAAGACTTCAACCCACTTCACTCAAATTATGCAGTGAGCTACTCACCAGGAAGATAGATGGTTTTTATTTTGTGTCTCTCTGGATTGTAGTCTCTCCTTTTCTGCCCCCTCCACATTTCCTCTCACCTTCCCTTTCCTCTGTCCTCTGCTCTCATCCTCTGCTTCCCCAGCTCTCTCCTTCCTCCTCCATCCATTTCCCACTGCTCTGCCCCGTCCTCTGTTTCACTCAGGCTTCAGACTCTTTTCTCTCATCAACTTTGCTTCTACAGTGAGTTGATGACACTGGACCCAACTGCTTGCCTGGGAAAGGTTTGTTTCAAGCAGCAAGTATTTTGTGACTCAGAACTCATCACATTTCACACAGAGCAAGAGCTAAATGGACTATCTTCTACACTCCCTGAGTAGCCTGGAATAGCCTTTCCTCATTCATTCCTAGCTTCGATGGAAGGAAATAAGCCAAAATGGTGTATCCCCTGAAGTGGCAGAAGACCATCTTGAGCCACTAAATCAGGCTTTTTAGTTTAAGAACCATTTTCCTAATATGGGTAACTTAAAAATAACACACATACTCAACTGAGATTGTAGGTTGTCCCACTTGTGCAAAAAGATCACTTCCAAAGACAGATGGATCTCATCCTCTTGGTGATAATTAATGGGCTAACCTCCAGAGGAGAATCATTCTTTCTGGCAGGCCTTCCGCTCTGATAGCTATGACGGTAGGTAAATTCTAACGGGACTCAGCCCCACATCCCTTCCTATTTGTTTACCTTGTTGCTTCAAACAGTATGTACTCAGATCAGCGGTTTGTAGAATCCGAAATCCTGGAAATTTGAGGTAGATGCAAATTCAGTTGCCAGTGAAAAGAGAAGGGATATCTCCAAAACCGATTTTATTGATTGATTGATTGATTGATTGATTGATTTATAAAGATTTTATTTATTTATTTAGAGAGCACAAGCAGGGGGAGGAGCAGAGGGAGAGGGAGGGAGAGAATCTCAAGCAGTCTCCTTGCTGAGCATGGAGCTTGATCTCATGACCCTGAGACCATGACCTGAGCCGAAACCAAGAGTTGGACACTTAATTGCCTGAGCCACCCAGGTGCCCCCAAAAGTTATTTTAAGATCTATGGTGATAAGAACTTCTGCTGCTGGGGTGATTTCAGTGATGAGATTAGGTCTTAGAGACTGTCATATGCACCCTCAGGTTGTTTTGATTGGTTCAGGCTGCCGTAACAAAAACACCATAGCCTGAGTGCCTTAACAAACATTTACTTTCCCCCGTTCTGGGGGTTGGGAAGCCCCGTATGGAGGCTCCGGCAGATTTGGTGTCTGGTGAGGGTCTGCCTCCTGTTTCACAGAAGGCCGGTCACTGTGTCTACCTGGCAAAGGAACAAGAGAGTGCTCTGAGGTCCTTTTGGAAGAGCAGTGATCGCACTCATGAGGGCTCCACGCTCAAGACCTAATCACTTTCCATAGGCTCTACCTCCGAACACATCACACTGGAGGTTAGGATTTTAGCATATGAATTTGGGGGAGGGGAGCACGAACATTATCTATCACAGTAATCATCTGAGACTGAGTTTCTTTCTGTAATAAGGAGATGTGAACAGGCACATTGGCATTGATGAGCTTTGTGTAATAAGATGCCTACATGAAACCAAATGGGTGTCCCAGTTACGTTCCCACAGGTACCCCTTTCTATCAAGGTGTAGTCTAGCGTAGCTGGTAACTGCTTTCCCTTTGCCCTTTCTTTCTTTGTCTCTTGAAGCACAACAGAGCCATTGATAGTCTTCCAGTGCAAATTCACCCTTGGAAATATATGTTTCCATGGCAAAAGGGGAGCCAAAGGGATACAAAGCCGCCAAGAAGCCTCCCAAGAGATGACACAGGTAATGGTTTCCAGCCCCTGGGCATTCCGTCCCCGGCCCCGTTCCCGTCCCCGAAGAAGTGTGTCTAGAATTGTGGCACGGCCTCTGTTCCCCACATGAGAGGGGAGCCATGAGCTGCCCGTCGGGGTTTCTCCTCGCTGGCTGACCCGAGTCACAGGGCTCTGCTCAGCATCTTCCAGGTGTCCTTCAGAGGCTGCAGACTGTTTTAGGGACTCCTCTCAAAAGCTGTCGCCACAGATACTTTTCCTAGAGGAGTCAAAGAAATGCTTTCTCAGACTATAGTCTTTCCCACGGAGTGTAACATGTGGTTATGAAATGGATCTCTCTTTCATTCATTATTTAGGGCTATCAGCACATTCGGAGCCTCCCTGTGGCCCCATTCTTTGACAGCATGTACCATTTCCGTGTCGCTGCGCCGGTAAGCTTGCTTGCTTTCCTTTCCTTTTTTTTTTTTTGCCTTTTTCTTTCCAGGGAGAAAGAAAGAAACAGACCATTAAATCAATCAATCCATCAATTACTTTAACCAATTCTCACATTAATCATTCCTTTTTTCTTCTCTGTTCTGACAGGATTTAGCGGACTGTTCAACGGATCCTTATTTTGCGGGGATATTCTTTACAGATTACTTCTTTTACTTCTATCGGCACTGTGTCTAATTTATTCGAGTTTGGTGGAGGACTTTGCCAAAGAAACATACTCAGAAATACGGTCAACAGAAACATAGCCTCTTGCAATTTCTTTCTTCTCTTTGAAAAACATTCACATTTATTGCCATAGGACTTTTTCAAGGCTTTGGCTTCCAACAGTTTTGAGCCATTAATGAGGAGAATAAAGTGTTGGCTGCAACTTGAGATAATGTGGTCTTTGATTTTACCGGGACTATGAAGAAAACATTTCTTGAGGGAGACAGCACGGTTGGGCTTGAAAATACTGCTTCTGGTATTAAGGAATCTTATGAGGTCAAAGAGGCAGGTCTGACTTTACTTTGTCCGATGTGTTTCTTTTCTTTTCTTTTTTTTTTTTTTTTAGAAAGACAGCGAGAGAGGGAACACAAGCAGGGGGAGTGGGAGAGGGAGAAGCAGGCTTCCCGCTGAGCAGGGAGCCCGATGCGGGGCTCGATGCGGGGCTCGATGCGGGGCTCCATGCAGGGCTCGATCTCAGAACCCTGGGATCCTGACCTGAGCCCAAGGCAGACGCTTAATGACTGAGCCACCCAGGCGCCCCTGTCCGATGTGTTTCTTACTGTAGCTTTTGAGAAAAATAAAAAGGCCCATTTCAGCCATTTCAACTTGGACCCACTAAGCAGACTCTTAAGAATGTGTGATACGGTGTGTGTTAAGGGGATGGGTGGGTGTTGTCTGCTAGCTGAGCTCACATTTATGCAAACTATTGCTATGTGTTTGTGGGAGAGAAGGAATGGGAGGGAGGGAGGGAGAGAGAGAGAGAACTTGTATACACTAGAGTACAGTACATAGCTTGCTAATGAATTGGATTTAAGAGAAAAAGTTGCAATTTTACCCTATAATGCTTGATGGACACTAAGTTTTCTGTTCTCTCTTGTGAAGCACTAACTTGTGACAAGTCTTTTAAGATAACCCAGATAATGTAGGCCCAGAGAGTTACATTTAATCTTCCAGTTGTCATTGTTTTTGGTTTTTGTTCTGTTTGTCCTCCACATACGAGGGTTCCTCTTACAGGGCATTCGTAACCATCGCCATTGTTTACAGCTGAATTAGCTTTTGGATACTTCTGTCTGGCTTATGGGTACATTTGTATGCCTTCCCCAACTCAGAATGGCAGAAATCCTCTAGCTGGAGACTATCAACCATGTCTTTTATTTTCTGTATTCTGATGTTTTGACATTTGGGGATCTGGTCTCTAATGGGACTCTACCTCCTAGGGTCAGACAATTCCTAGAGATAGTAAACAACTTGCCCATGAGTGCTTTTCAAATAACAAACCAACCAATCCAGAGTCCACACTGCAACCCACCTCCTGTGTCAGGCTCTCACACTCCACCTGCCCTAACCACATCAGGGCCAGGTACCAGACAACTAGGCACAGCCCCTGTATCCCAGAGCCTGCTAAAATTATTCAAACAAGCCAATCCCCAGCCTGTTCACCCTGCCTCACCTGTTCCTTCCCATAGAAACCACAATAAAGGCCCTTGCCCATAGCTTCCTCAGCCTCCTGACTGATCCTGGTGCTTCATTAGTGTGCCCGCCCCCCAACATGTGGCATATCCCCTTCTCTTGGGAACTGTAACAAACTCTCTTTCTATCTTGTCAATGGCAACCATTAGCCATTCCAATACCTCAAATTTTCTATGAATACACTATATCTTAGGACATGGAGATTTGAGCCCGTCTAGCTCTAGTTCCATGTGACAAGGCTGCTGAGTGGCTGGCCTTTCCCTCTCTTACTGTTGGCCTGGGAGTCAGTTAGGAGATGAGAGTATTTGATTTTTTTTTCTTTACCTTAACAGTGATGATCAGTAGTAGTAACACATCCTCCTCTTCCTTATTTTCAAATATTACTAAACTTGTGCCACGTGAATGGAAATTAATTGTGAGACCCCATCTATTAAGAAAAGAAGAGATATGGTCCTTGCTCTCCCAGAAGGCATTTTGAAATGAACTCAATGACACGGAGGTAGTTTAGCCCAGTAGGACCCGACACTTTGGATCCCAGCAGTCCGTGCCTTGAGTTCAAATCCTGACCTTATCTTTGTACCCTTGGGCAGGATACCTAACTTCTCAAAGCTTCAACTTCCTCTTTTAAGGAAGAGGAGAGTGAGTATCTAGACAGGATTACATGAGATAAAATATGTCAAGCACAGATAGGCTGTAAATAAATATTAGCTATTATTGTTATAACTGCACATAACAGAATCATTATAAAGATTACAATGGGATTAGAAAGGGATTGAGTCACTGACCACTCACACATACATCAAGGCATGTTTGTCAACTGTCAAAACCAAACTTCAGCTAGAGCATACACATATGTGTTACATAATATTTGTATTCTTTCTATATTTGGAAAATTGTTCCCCCTTTTACTAACTGCATAGCCTTTGTGGAAAATTAAATAAGGTAGGTAATTCTTGGGAGGAGGATTTCAGGATTCCTGCAATTGCCTGGACTCAAATTCAGACTTGGTTGTCCTCAGTTGTCATACTAGTCTATCCAGCATGCCCTGCATCTAGAGCCTTCATTTTTCCATTTCATTTTTTAATAGCATCCCAGGTGTTTGGTGTGGGAGAGACTCCATTAATTTGATTCTTCCACTAGGAAAGGAATCTGGTCAGCAACAGGATTACAGAGTTCTTTCCAGCACACAGACGCCATGCTCTTATTCACGCACTTACATTCCTGATAACATGGGGGGTTCAGATACTTAATGTAGCTCAGTAACATTTCCAAAAGAGGATTTCTCTCAAAAAAGTACTGTTTTCAAATTAAATTCTATTACAAAACCAAAAGTCTTTTCCCCACCACAACAAAACAAAACAAAAGGATGTACGACAGGAGACTGTGTTGAAAGTCTTCAGAAAGGAAGGATTTAACATAGTGAACAGACCTGTGGCAATCTGTGGCATCCCGAGATTTGTTAAGCCTACTAGGCGAATAAACTTTGCTGGAAGATTCTCTTTGTATTTAGAAGTACTTCTCCAGTTGTGAGATGTCCACTGTGGAAACCATGCTGCTTCAGGTCAAAAGATTTTTCCTTATGCCCAAGAATTGCCTGACTCTCTACTGGAATATCCCCCAATTTAAGTAATGTCTATAAATCTTTCTCCCCAAAGCTCATAACCTCACTCTAATCATGAGCAAAACCTCAGACAAATCCAAACAGAGTGACATTCTATGAAATACCCGACCAATACTCCTTAAAATCCTCAAGGTTATCAAAAACAAGGGAAGTCTGGGAAACTGTCAAAGCCAGGAGGAGCTTAAAGAGGCATGAATTCGCTGTGGTACCCTGGATGGGAGCCTGGCACCAAAAAGGGGCAGCAGATAAAAACCAAGGACATTTCAATAATGTATGGACTTTTGTTAATAAAAATGTTATCAATGTTGGTTCATTTATTGTGAAAGATGTTAATAATAGGGGGAACGAGGTGTGGAGTTTATGGGAACTCTGTGTACTGGCCTCACAGTTTTTCTATAAATCTCAATTTCTAAAATTAAAAAAATTATTTTAAAAAAGTCAAAAAAGAAGTCTATATAAGAGCTGGGCTGAAGTATCACATGCTGCCACCCTGTCATTTGTGATAACATAGGATAAATTCAATCCTGAAAAACAGGTACAATTTAACCTCAGGTCACTTATATCTTAGTTACAGTATATGAAATACAGTAACTACTTTGCCAATTATTTGTCAGATTCTGCATATCAATTTATTAGCTGCCCCCAATGTCATAGAAAATGCTATATAATATAAAATATAAACACTATAAAATATAACACAATCACATAATCTAAACAAGTAGAATTATGATAATTTTATGAGTTCTAATAAAGAAACTCTATAAGATTTTGAAAGTTCTATCAGATTTTTAGACAACCAAATCATAAAAATTCACTTAAAAGTTTGCATGCATGAGTTCAACCCTGCAGCATTTAAAAGAAAAAAAAATGTAGAGCTCTTAACCTACCTCTTTTCCCATTTTTATTTTTACTTCTTTTGCCTAAACAATTTTGGGATTTCAACTGTAGTGGCAGATTCCCAGCAACACATTATTAAAGATCTCCAACAGAAGAGCAAAAAAGCCATTCTGTTGGCAGTTTACAAAACCCTTCCCAAACCTCCTCTGGCTGGATTCTCACAACGACCTCGTGATGTTGGCCATGAGGGGACTTCTATTCCCCCATTCTGCAGATAAAGAAACTGAGGCACAAAGAGGTTAAGTAAGAACAAGAGATGAGCCAGGTTTTCTGGTGCTACATTTCATCCCTTTCCCCTATATGACCTATCTTCTTCAGTGCGGACACCACACAAGACTTAAGCCTGGGTGGCCCCAACACCGGGAATATATTTCTCACAGTGCTGGAGACTGGACGTCCAGCAGGCTCAGCATCTGGCAAGGGCTCGGTCTTTGTGTTGCACCCGGTTGCCTTCTTGCCGTGTCTCCGTGCAGGCAGGTGGAGAGAGAGAAAGAGGGAGGAATCACGCTCTTTGGTGTCTCTTTTTCGAAGGGCACTGATCCCACCATGAGGGTTCTCTCCTCATGATGTCACCTAAACCTAATTACGTCCCAAATGCCCCGTCTCCACAAACCTGGATACTGGGTCTTCAACATATTCCAAAGGGAGACGACTCAGTCAGTAGCATTATATCACTTACCCTTAGGAAATGTTTTCCTTTCTTCATGACTCTTTGGAGTTTGCAAGAGATCGCCAACTCAGATATGGACCCACGCAAAAGGCATTAACAGGCGAATGGCTCCGGTAAGTGATGTTTACACTCACCAGGTCTTGAAAACTGAGAGGATTTATTTGAGGCCATTGACTTCCGGCCCCAGAGTTGAGAGAAGGCAGAGGGACAGAGAGGAGGGGACTCTCCGGTGGCCACTCAGTTCTGTCCGTTGATATTGCACTGGGGCTGAAGGGCTCACTTAAGAAGGCTAAATACCAGCTGCAGGCTGAGGAACACTTGAGGAAAATCTTAACTCGGCAAAGCTAAAAGCATGTGGGCTTTCATTTCTTCAAGGACATGTGTCATTGATTTTTGTGTCTGATTCTGAAGAGCCAGATGAGCTCTTAAGCAGTATCCAAGGATTCCAGAACCTAGTGCATTTTTCATGGTGGTTGTCGGAAGCTTGCAGCACCGGGGACCCCCGATTTACCCACGGTGCTCTGCATCCAACCCCATCTTTCCTTGGCTGGGTTCCGTGAATGGGGAAAGTCTTCGTCACGTAACTGGAGGGAAGGATGGGTGCCAAAGATCACAGTCTCAATCCTTCAATGTCTCCATGGCCCCACCCGCATATAAATGAGATCACATTTGAGAAAGACTCCCAATAACACGTCTTGGCCAGAGCTGAGTTCTCAAGCCGTTTTTAGCCGCACCAGTCTGACCTCCTGTTTAACTGCAGAGGAACTGGAAAAAGAACCGGAGTCAGGGCCAGGAAGCTTGGTCTGGGGCCTGGCTCAATAATTGGCCCGTGGTGTCATCTCAGATACTTCGCTCTCCCGGGTGCAAAATCAGACCCAGAATCGCCTGCCACATTAAGAGTTATTGAGAACACTGGAGGCCAAACTGACGTGAAGTGGCAAGTCTCGTGAGGCGGCAGGTGCTGTGGGAACACCACAAGATTAAATTAAGAAGGGTCTTTGGGAAGACATTATTTTGAACAAGTAAATAAGCTGGAAATCCTCACTTCTTTTGATGAGCTTCAGCCCATTATGCTCAGGGGAAGTGACTTACCTTTCCATTCACCATCTTCTTCACGTGGAAACCATATTGCCGAGCACACAGTAGATGCTCAATTAACATTTATGAAGTGAAAGGTGGGTAAATAAACAATTTCCTCATATTTCCCAGTGTATATGGCAAGATGGCACAGTAAGCCAGATTTGAATTGTTCTCTCTTTCACTGTGGGTTTTTTTTTTTAATTGTTATGATTTGGAATAATAGGATGTTATTACTCTTCTCCAAACACCTTTAAATCACTTCTAAATGATTTCCAATAGAAACGAGGAAATCACACAGCCCATTGCATGTTAGATTTCAGACCCTGATAGTCAGCTACTGCCTATTATTCATCATTTATATTTATACTGCTGAATTTTTTTTCATAAAGCACAACTGCATAAGAATCTAAATTAATTGCAGAGTAATTATAAAGCACTTAGTGAATGTTTCATATTAGATCCAAACATGGAGCATTACGACAGCAATTAGGCTGCTGTGGTTTTTCCCCTGAAGTGAGTCGTAAGACCTCAGGCCTATCATCCTATACGATTACCAAAATTGGTTTCCTTCTAGTGCGGATATTCTTGGCTCTCAAGAGCAGTCCCTGGAATTATCTGCAGTAGAGAAGCTACTCAGGATTATGTTAAGAAGCAAAAGGCTTCATTACTTCACGAGGGGCCCACTGACCTCTGGGAAGACACTCCACTGTAGATCATCTTTCACACATTGGGCCCCGAGCGCTGGTAACCATTGGCTCATTCTCACTCTTTCACTGAGACATTTGGGGAGGACTTTCTATGTGCCAGACTCAAGGGAACGAGAAGAGCAGGGCATCATTCTGGACCCTCCTGAGGCATCCCGCATCCGGTGCACCAGCCAGGTGGCCGCCCAGTTAGCCACCCAACAACACGAGAAGCGTTGTAACTGGCGTCAAAGTTGTGCTGGGAGTGGACAGGGCAGGGGCGCTAAGGCTGTCTCTGAGGTACGTGGGCCGGAGGATGGAAGGGGAAGCTTGGAGCAGGGAAGAGACATCTGAGCTCTCTGGCTCTGAAAGAATGGAATATGGTTTTGGGTTTTGTCTGTTTCTTTTTTAAACAGAAATTAAAAAAAAAAAAAGGTAGAGGTTACATATGAAATCAATTCTTGATAAGAAAGAATCTGATTTTAAGTGCACCAGGAACTGCCAAGAGAATAATTACCACCCCCACCCACCTGAGCCAGCCCTTCTGCTAGCTTTGCTCACAGGAGAGGCACTCCTGTTTCTGAAAGACACCCCTTCTTTTCCTCAGCTCCGAAAGCCAGCCATCTGTCCCGGGAGATTCAAGGGAACTGTGGGAAAAGCACAACACGTTGGGTGGGGCTTGGGGTGACTCAGGGAACTGGCAGTGAGCTTGTGGGTGGGGAGGCTGCGCCTCAGGACCGTGACTGACTCACTCATCCACCGGGAGCGTGCTCTCCGTGCTCGGGGCGCCATCAGTATTTGGGCCGCAGCCGAGGGCCGGCTGTCGGTAGCATCTGCCTGCAAGGCTTAGGGTCACTCTGCCCATTTTACAGTGAAGAGTTCTTCCTGCCTGAAGAATACCTACTTCTCATTTTGATACCTCAGGTGCTCATGGTGGGAAGAGCTGGGAGTACCTCTTAAAAGTCCTCCCCGTATGACTTGCCCCTTCTTTGGGCAACAGGACCCCCTGATTTTCCCCTGGCAAACTGTCTTGCTCCAGTCCTCGATCTCTATGGAGCCAGTAAGGCTGACACCCTCCCTCAGGCCAGGGAAGAACCCGTGACTCCGGCCCCGGTGAATCAAATGGGGCCTTCATTCCTTTGGCAACAGCACTTGGGCTGGGGGTAACTGTATGGCCCGATTCAGGCTCATCAGAACCATCCCTGGGCGTTTGCCTGGAACTGGAAGCGAAGCGGTAGTCCCGGGGGAGTCATTACGCTGGCTGGCGGCGGTGGGCCTGAGCCGCCGGGGCGGCTTGCCTGCCTGAGAACGAGGCTCGCACGAGGGAAGCGGAGCTGAGGGACGCCCAGGACTCACCTCAGACGGGTCGAGCCCGGCTCAGCCGTCCACCTGGGCCGTGATGAGCTGTGGCCGGGTGAGAGGGTGGTGCGCGGCGGCCCCCTCGGACCGGGCGCGGGCGTGAAGGCGCCTGTCCGCAGGCAACGTGGAAGGGAAGGGAAGCATCTTCAGGACGGCCGCTTTCCCTCATCGGGTCCCTATTTTTCAGACATGATTCCTATTTCCATTTCACAGAAGACTTAGGGTTACGTCCGAGACCCTGCAAGTAGTGGGTGACACATGTGGAATCTGAGACCCGAGGTCCAACTGGTTTCCTCAGCACGGTTCTGTCCACCGTGGAAGGAGCTGCTCTCCCTTCCTCGAGCGTCGCAATCGTATCTAGTTTTCATTGTCAAGGGTTTAATGGTGCCACCTCCATGTTTTAAGGAAACCATTAGTGGTGATCCGGAAGGCGCAGGTCAAGGAAGCAAGGCCGAACCACGGATCTCGAGGCGTGCGCGCTGTCCACGAATGAAGAAGCGAGCGAACGTTCCCGCGCGGCCGCCCTTGGGGATCGGTGGGCCCCGGGCCCGCGGCGCCGGCGGGGCTTCGGGCAGGAGCTGAGGCGGCTGAGAATTTCATTCTTTCTAAGTGTGAGTAGCAAAAGCCGCGAGCCCCGTAGCGTGTCTTGTTACGAAGTGCCCCATCTGGGGGCTCAATCTCAGATGTACAGCTCGTGCTTCCACCACCTTAGACTCCTCTGCTCTCGCCTTTGTGTCCCGTATCCCACCAGTCTTGGGGCAGAGGGGAGGGGAGGGAAGGAAGAGTTCGTCAATACAATCGCAAAGTTGTGCTTCTTGGTCCCTGATGTGACCTGCCTGCAGGACGCAGCCCCCTCCCCCCCCCCCCCCCGCCTCATCCTGGTCCTCAGTGTCCCCGGGGAATGTCATCCACGCGCAATAGCGGTCCTGGTCCTTCGCTGTGATGGGACAGGTGCCATTCCCGTTTCTCTTTTGTGGCTCTTTGGGGAGTGGTCTCTGGTCACTGCCAAATTTAGTGGCTCCCCCACTGAGAGTGACCAAAAATGCCCCAAGTGGCTGCGGCGGGTGCGGCCGCTCCTGCCCACCGGCCTCTGGCACGCTGGTACCGCGGGCGCCGCCTGCCGCCTCTGCCATTTAAAGGACCCTGGAGACTCACCCCATAGTCAGATGTGCTTGAATCCTAAGTGCATGGAGATTTTAGAACAAAATGTAAATAAATACATGCAAATGTAGGGGCACTTTTTGGACAGACTTTCTACTGTTACCAAATAGTGCTTTGTTTAATCCGATCTCTGAGGCAGAGTCCAACCAACTCCTATGGAGCCTTTTTAGAGAGGCAAATGTATCCCCCACCTTAGCTCCTTCGCTCCTGGGCGCTGGAGGATCCTGATGACCAAGTCCTCCCAGGAAACTCTGTGCCAGTTACCCCTGAGAATTGGTGCTTGGCAGCTAACTTCTCAAGGCGGGAGTCTCCTGGCCCTTCCAGTAGGCTAGCTTCCGTTTTTCCTTTGTGGCAAGAGCAAAACCAAACAAATAAAAAATTGAGAATAGCACTGCTCCTGAGAAATACATAAACCCAACTGGGATATTCTCCAATTGAGAAATTTTCTCTCCCCTGACCCAAAGATCTCTGACCTTTTAAGTTTTAGAACAATGCACAATTATTTAAGTCTGTACACTAATACTTCTTTAATGTGTTTTAATTTTTTTATTCATGTCTTAGTCACAGACTTTCTGGAACAGACTGTTTTTTAAACTAACCAAATTTAGGACATCTATTTAAATCACTTTTGAAATGCAAAGAATTTTTTTTTTTTAAATAGTGATTTACGAATGGCACCATTCCATTTCCATTCTGACGCTTTGACAGGTTAATAAATTTATGTGTTCATGTGATAAATTTTTGACCAGGGGACTGGAAGATGGAGAAAATGATATGAGTGGTAAAAAGAAGGAACAATGGTGTGTGTGTGTGTGTGTGTGTCTGTCTATGCACATAAATTAGAGTTAAGCTAGAGTAAGGTAGTAAAATGTTTTCTTCAAGCCACTCAGGGTTCCTGGCTGGGTCTCAAAATTAAACTGACAAAGGCAGATTAATAGGAGAGAAGCACACAAATTTATTTAGTATAAATTTTACAGGACCTGGGAGCCTTCATAAGGAAATGAAGACCTGAAGAAACAGATAAACCTGAGTCTTTTTATGCTACATTTGCTGGGAAGTGGCCAGTCATGTAAAAATATGATAGGTCAGAAAGTATGAGGTAAGTGTAGTAAACTGGGGGAAATTGAGCAAGACCTGTTTGTTCAGATTCTTCTTGGTGGTGTCACTTTGTCTTCAGAGATAAGAACACTCCCTTCCTCTAGGTACAAGTTGGACGTCTCTCGAATGGGGGTTTTATGACCTGTTTCCGAAGAGAAGAGCTATGGGAAGGGGGTCCATTTTGCTGTTTCTCCAACTCCTTCAGCTTAAAGTATTCAGTATGGGGTTCTGGTTCAAGATGGCAACCCACTCTCGGTTGGGAACTCAAAACCTGGGGCTTCTCCCCAAGAAGCAAAGGGTTCATACTCCACATCTGGCACCCCAACTTTTAAGATCAGCACCTGAGAGACGAACCCCAAAATATCTAGCTTTGAAGACCATCAGGGCACCTATCCACCAGACCCGTGGGGCTATGGCAAACTGAGTCTCTTCAAGGGACTGTGTGTCGACTCACCTGATCCACGGCCAGTACAGAAGCAGTCCTCTGAAAAGTCCCCAAACTTTATGTGAAAGAAGCTCATTTCCTAATTTTAAAGTATTGTGCTTAAGTGGCAGGGGCCTGCAGGGATACCCTCCAGGGAGAGAAACTGTTGGATCCCATCTTCCTGTTTTTCCTCCACCTTGCTAAAGCCAACAGGAGCCATCGTTTATTTGTTTGGTTGTTTGTTTCCTTTCCTTTGGGTGCCATCGCTATATTCCACCTGGTAGGGGCCATCTTCCATGCTCTCCCTCTTCCTTGCTAATACCAGCAATCACTGCAATCACTATCTTTTTTAAAAATTTCACGCTTTACTTTTTCTTTTTTTTCCCCATTTTTAAAACCTTTTTTTCAGTGAGTCCTGTCTTTGTACTCCCTCTCTGCCTCACTGCAGCCAGTAGGCGCCATCTTCATGCTCTCCCCCGGCCACACGCAAGTGCCCGTATCTCACAGAGGGGAGCTTCTACACAGGTCTGGTGCCTTGATTTTTATGTCTGGCGACCTGGTTTCTGTGGCTGCCACTTAGGAGATGTCCCTTGATTGCCTGGATCTGGAGGCGGGGGTGGGGGGCGGGGGGCTTGTGTTGCTGGCCCCAGGGGGCTGTAACAATTGGAGAGGCAGTTCTTGGCAGACTCCCACACCTAGGGCACTACGCAGACAGCAGACTGAAACACACCCCAGTCTGTCTCAGAAAGGCACGTTTGCTTTTCGGGGAGCTTTGGCCTGAGAAGCAGGCTTCTGGTTTGGCACACTTAGAGGCATCAAAGGGGCTCTTCGGGGAACAGAGGCTGGTGAACAGAATCTTTGCCCTCTCCCTCTGCGTCGCCCCGGCTCCCCCTGAATGTTGCAGAGAAGAGCTTATACCCTTCTCTGGTGCCCTGATTTTCGTGGCTGCTCCCAGGGGACACATACCTCTCTGTTGCCTAGCTCTGGTGGCCAATGCGGCTTACGCTCGCAGGTGGCACAGGACTGTAGCCAATAGAGAGAGAGTTTGCAGTCAGCTAGTGCCCCCAAGGCACAGCAAGACACAACAGACCGAGGAGCTCAATCGTGTTGGAAAGAGGCCCGTTTGCTGATCAACTAGCTGCAGCCTGAGGGGCAGGCTTCTAATGCACCACACATTTAAGGCCAGCTGGGACCCTTTCCTGAGACCTTGGAGGGTGGGCACTACCTTCTTGCTCTCCCTCTGTCGTGCTCCAGAGCGCCAGCATCTCTCGGAGGGGAGCTTTTATAGGTGTCTGGTACCCCAGTTCTTGCATCAGGTGCCCTGGTTTTTGTGGCCACCGCCTTGGAGATGCCCCTTGATCATCGGGGGGGGGCGGTGCTTGTGTTCCTGGGTGCCAAGGGACTGTAACAATGGGAGAGACAGTTCTTGGCAGGCTACCACCCCAGGGCCCTACACAGACAGCAGATTGAAACACAAACACAGCCTTTCTGTGAGAGGCCTACTTGCTAGTCCTGGAGCTTTAGTTTTAGGAGGAGGTTTCAGGTTCGGCACACAGTTAGAGACTCCAGAGGAGCTCTCGGGGAATGTAGGCCGAGGACGCCGTCTTTGCGCTCTCCCTCTGCCTGGCTACAGCCCACCAGTATCTCAGAAACGAGCTTGTACATGGGTCTGGAGCCCGGATTTTGTGGCTGCAGCCAAGGGGACACCGGTCACCTCCAGATCACCCGGCTCTGAGGGCCAGCATGCTTTATGCTTGCAGAAGGCGTATATTTGCTTTCTTTAAAAGCCTGAAGGGTCTGACTTCCAATCAGCCTGAATCTAAGGTGCTGATTGAGATTCTCTCCTTTGCGACACTGACTGGTCCTGGCACACCCTCCAATACCCCGAGCTATTAAAAATAAAATTGGCTGCTTGGACAATCACAAAAGTCTGAGAGACAGCTGATAGCTAGGGCAAGGTTGAGTGATAAGCCTATGCCCTATGGGAGGCCACTGCGTGATGTTGATGCTGTTGGTCCAGGGATCCTCTCCGAATAGCGAGTCTTCAGTTTGCCAAGTGTTTTCCTGTGTCATCCCATTCAATTCCTTTTTTTAAATTTAAATTCAATTGGCCAACATATAGTACATCATTAGTTTTTGATGTAGTGTTCAATGATTCATTAGTTGGTTATAACACCCAGTGCTCATCACAACACAACATGGGCCCTCCCTAATACCCATCACCTGGCTACCCTATCCCCCCACCCCCCTCCCTTCTGTAACCCTCAGTTTGTTTCCCGGAGTCCAGAGTCTCTCATGGTTCATCTTCCTCTCTGATTTCTTCCCATTCAGTTTTCCCTCCCTTCCCCTGTGGCCCTTCGCACTATTCGTTATGTTCCACATATGGGTGAAACCATATGATAATTGGCCTTCTCTGCTTGACTTACTTCACTTAGCATAATCCCCTCCAGTTCTGTCCATGTCGATGCAAATGGTAGGTATTCATCCTTTCTGCATCCCACTCAATTCTTAGGCCAGGCCTGTGAGGCACTTGACACACCCCTATTTCACAGAAGTCGAGGTAGGGTCAGTGAGGAAGACAGGCTCGCCTATGCTGGGCAACAGGAGGACCTATATGCAGGCATCGGAATCCGGATGTTCCCGCCCGCGTGACTACAGCTCCCCTCCACGTGTCGTGCCTCACCACGTGCCATGCCAGGACTTTGCCCTTTCAGGGATGGTTCTAGAGCACACGGCTGTGTGTTCCTAGTCCCCGAATCTTGTTACATCCGCTCCTGATGGGGCTTGCTAGCATGTTTCGGTTGGCGATTTTTCATCTGACATACTGTCCCTCTCCATACTTTATCCACAGATGGGTACAAAACCCTGGCTTCTCATATCTGAATTATAAATATAGGCTTTTCAGTGATGTTTGGAGGCTCAAGGATTGATGGGTACATAGAAGACTGATCTATGAGAAGTCAAATATATAGCATTGGAATGAGAGATTAAACATCTTCCAACTGATAAAAACAACAGAACGAGAATAGTATACACTAGAAGTTGACAAAAGCGAAATGGGTAAACGCAGGGGCTTGGGAGTTTTGAATCGAAGTTCTGTCTCTTTCCAAATGAGTAGGTTATTTAACCTTCCTGTGCTTTGATTTCCTTGTATCTTATAAAAGGAGAGATTATGGTTTTTGTGACAACTAAAATATCTAATTCACAACTGTGACCGGCACATAGTAAGTACTCAGTAAATGTGAGTTTATTATTACGCATCGCATCAACCTCCTTGTTTTTAATATAGAGCCAAAGAGGCCCAAAAAGCTTAAGTGATTTCAACTTTCATTAACAAATTAGGATGAAGCTTTTGCTCTGGAGCAGACATTAACTAGTTGATGGCTAGAGTCCTGCTGATTTCTATTCTAGTATGATGTTCACCGCACTCACTGCCACTTTGGGTTTTCAACAGGTTTTTGATATTCCGAACAGTTCCATAGGTGGCCTGGGTAGCAGTAATCCCCAAACTATCTTCTTTCTTCATTTGTCTTCTTGGTCTGGAAGGCCCTGGAGTGTGGACTGAAGGCAAGGAGCCCTGAGCTGAGGCACAGTTGCTGCAGAACTGGCTGGCGGGGGGCCTGGCATGCAAGTCAGGGGCGCTCTTGCCGTCCGGGGCTTGGGATGGCTCTCCCCAGGCACCCGTGTCCAGCCCCAGCCGGAGACTGGAGACCGTTTACCTGGCTGAAGTGAGTGTTGTTGGCATCTCCATGACCGAGGACGGTAGGGAACCCGGTTAGCCTGGGCTGTGGGGCAGGGGCGTCGGTCTGCTGCTGACCCTCCTGCCCCATTAGACAGCTCTTTACTGCAAAGCCTTTGTGCCCAGAGAACTCTCTGGCTCTGAGCTTTGGTACTTTTATTTGGGGCAGCCTCGCCCCAGTCTTCAAGTTTCAGGTAAGGCATCTGGTGTATAACTAAGGGAGAAGCAGAAGTAGTAAAAACCTTTTCTTGCTTGTGTGAAGCCAGGTATGTGCAAATAAACAATGAAGAAGTACAAATGACTTCACGAGAGGAATCGTACAAACTCCCAGGGGACTAGTCCCCATCTTTACAAACAAAGACTTGCCTAACATTTCACTACTTTGTTTTCCTCTTCATTCAGAATGCAAATTTATGGGGGCACCTGGGTGGCTCAGTTGGTTAAGCGACTGCCTTCGGCTCAGGTCACGATCCTGGAGTCCCGGGATCGAGTCCCGCATCGGGATCCCTGCTCAGCAGGGAGCCTGCTTCTCCCTCTGACCCTCCCCCCTCTCATGTGCTCTCTCATTCTCTCTCTCTCAAATAAATAAATAAAATCTTAAAAAAAAAAAAGAATGCAAATTTATGCTCATCGGTGGCAATGTAAGGGGTACATTCCCCTAAAAATGATTGCAAATGTTTGTCTCATTGCAAAGTATTTCAATGTCATCAAATGATTCTTCCTTCAACGAGAGCTCCTGCATGTGAAGCCTGTGTGTGCAGAAAACCCAGAAATGTTGAAAATAGACCTTCTTAGACAGGCTAGCCCAGGGGAATTCACTGCTCCAGTTACAGTGTTTTTGGATTGCTCAGGATAAACGGTTCCAAACTGAGGAATGCGCAAAATGGGAGAAGCTGTGATCTTTTGTCTTTACACAGGGAATGAGGAATTAGTCATACTGACTTTCCAATGCATTGAGTTATGGAAGTGGACAAAATTCCATTTTTTAAATGTTATTTTATCAGAGTAATACATGCACATGGTTTCAGGAGTTGAATGGGACCCATGAGCTCACTGTTGAGGATATAGTTCTCTCATACACATCCATTTCGCTCTCCAGCAGCATGGAATTTCTGCTCTTTCAAGCTTTTTGTTCTTGAACGAGGCCCATGTTTCTAAAGAATATGCTTATGCTGCTACTGTTCATCAATTTTAGACATTACAGTAGATGAAGATTTAGCTCAACTACCTTCCGCTTCATCCTGCAATACGTTTCTACCAAAAAACAGTTTATGTTCTGTTTTCATTATTCTGAATGCAAATGTCCTTCATTGGGGAGCTTAGAGGTGTGATTCTCTTTTCTGTAAATGTTTATTGTTGCTGTTTCCTGGGCTCTGTTTCCCACAGCAGCTGGGACGTTTTCCACCAGGCACACGCTTCCCTTACTTAGTTAGGCCGATGACCAGCATTCACCAGCCTTGTGGTCAATAGATGTTTCCACGAACAGCACCTCCCCAGGCAGCGAGTTTATCTAGATCCGTTCCCTCTGGCTTCTGCCGGACCTCACTGAGCAGCAAAATGTGAGGCCCCGCCCTGGCCTAAGATTCCTAAGTAGGATTTAGAGATGGAGGAGAGAGAACAACATAAATAAAGGCGAGAGGCAATCGTGAGTATGGCATCGTCTAGAAAGGCTTTTCTGAGACCTTTAGATGCCACCTGCTATAAAATCTTACTATAATGTGGATGTGGATACCAAGTCAAGGAATGGGGTTAGAATCACTGAGGGTTTTCTGTTCTCTTCATAAATATGACATGGGCGTCTGGACAGCCTAAACATCGATTTCATTCCGAAATGGATTATTTGGTTTACGAAACCTGGAATCTCTCACCCCGTGTTTTACCATCAGGCCCCTTATGAATGTGTCTTCCTCTTCCTCCTTCCCGCGTCACTGCTGAGAAAAGATAAGCAGGTGCCTGCGGTTGCGATCCAGCCTCTGTGCTGACCCCTGGGCCCGAGCGCAAAGGGACCCAAACCCACGCAACCACACACAGCCATCACGCACCTGCACACATCCTCAGAAGGACCGAGCACGCAGCGACGTGTGCACGCGCATTGATCCTCTCTGGGTTTTCACTTAATTCTTTCTGATTCTTTTAAAGCCTTTTTCCCAAGGAGAGAGAGAAACCAAGAAATAGACTCTTTACTATAGAGAACAGACGGATGGTTCCCAGGGAGAAGTGGGTGGAGGGATGGGGGAAATGAGTGACAGGAATTAAAGAGTAATCATGATGGGGAAAAAAAAAAAAGAAAAAGAAATAGGAAAGGCAATAATGAATGGAGGAACTGGTAGGGAAGAGATGACAGGAAGCTCAAAAACCATCCCTGTTGCATTTTTGCTTTCAAACCCAGGATGTAGAAAAACATATTTATAATAACCAGTGTAAGTTACTGGAGATCATAAGCCAAGGACGTGAAAAGAAAAATGCTGGTAAGTCATTTTAATAAAAACAGAATTTCTCTGTTTCAGTTCCCCTGTTAATGTCCCTGCGAGGGATAGGAATCACTGAAGAGATTTGTAGAGCAGTCAGTCTTCTCATGGCCAGTGGAGACTCCTGAACTTTCTCCCAGGCTCGTCACTGGTATTTAGTCTAGTACAACATGAATTGAGATTTTTCTTTCTGAAACTTTCATTTTAAAAGGCATGAATTCCAAGCAGGAAAAGCAAAGTCTAGACGTGCATTCAAATCATGTGTAAAAGAATAAGAAATGTTTAACTAGTCATCGTCATTAATATATGTAGAGAGAGAATTTGTGGTCTACGGAGGATCCAAAGATCAAAAAATTGTCAGTGAATGTTTAGCTTTGTTCTTAGGAGAAGCTGACATTATAAACATGGGGTCCACTTAGCAGGTGTATCCCCAACCTGCAGATGGCTGAAAATATCAACCTGAAGCATAGGCCTTCCTCGGACTCCCCATTTGCCAAGAACACAGCTGATTAGAATCAGGTTTTCCATGTAGAGTTTCCTATAGGGAGCAAATATTTGATCAACTGGCATAAACATCCCAGTCAGCCCGGCCGTTTTGGTTCTCCTTGTAAATGAACTGGTCTTTGGTTTGTACGACCACTTACTTGAGAGGTGGGTTTGCATGAGGCTGACCACCAGAGAGCTGCTGTGTTCTGGTGCTCTCTCAAAATCAAATTAATGGACCTGCACATTTGAGGGGGTCCCTGCACACCTTTCTGCCTACAGGCCTACTCCCGCCATTTTCAGAGCCCAGGGTAAAGGTACAAAACTCAAGCCTGTGTCTTATTCCCCTCTTCTGCCCCCTGACAGCTCTAGTCTTCGATGTGAGCATCCATGAGGACCCCTCAGCCCTCAAGTCCAAGTTCTGCCCCAGTTCCTGCCTGCCCAATAGCTACTCCTTGGCCATCTTGCAGGCCTAGGGGTGTGCATAGGGCAATGGCTACCTTTGTGAGGACAGACCCAAGACAGAAGTCCGGGCAGGATCTGGTACTTGCTATAGGCCATTTCATGAGGGTGATCTAGGGGTGAGGGGCTGACTGCAGGGTGGACATGTCTCCTCGCTATGTTGAGAGAGTTTTGCCAGAGGAAGGGCCTAGCGTGGGGGACCTACCTGCCCAGTTCTAAGGGAGATAGTGCCCATGTGACTGTCCTTTTCCCACTCTGAGGACATTCAGGAGTGACCATATTACTTCATCAGATGATCCCTCTATCTCAGCTGGCTAAAACTACAATACTTCTTACTAGAATGTAATCTGCCAAATTGTGGCCTAAGGAGGATCTGACTCAGGCCTGTGGACCATAAGCAAAGCCATATCTTGTTTGAAATCACTCTCTAGAGAACTAGAAGAAACTTTGGGATTTTCTATTAATATTTATAGCGGTTCCTCAGGCAATTGGACTGAATTCTGAGCTATGTAGAAATGCAGTCTGGGGTCACAGCCTCATCTGTCTTAATTACAGGGTCAAGGACAGAGAAGACTTCATTTAACTGCTAATGGAAGTCCTTAATCTGACTGAACGTGAACAATTTGGCCCAGAGAAATTAGCACCTGGTGTCAGCCAATGACATTCAGATAGTTTTAAAATAATCTAATCTTCCAGAGCTCCGTGCTTGGTTGATGGAAAAGAGAATTGGAAAGGAATGACGTGGAACTTACTTGCTTATAAATATGCTTTGGGGCAGAACCATTGCAAGAGTGATCTCATTTTGTTCCAAGAGATTTCACTGCTGTTTCACAAACACTCCATCCGGTCTTGCTAATAGAACAAAGCCGCAGAGCTGCATTAAGAGAGGGGCAGAAGTGGATTTTAATCTACTCAGCCAGCTGGTCTGTCATCTACATTATATGGGGGGAGGAGGGAGAGAAAAACATAAGACATAATGTGACACACAGAGCGCTGTGATGTGATGACCGGATAGAGGAGGCCTTAAAGGTAAATGGATGGGGAATCTATCTTTACAAAGTTCGGGTGGGATGAAATCGAAATGGCTGAAGCACTGTGGGCAAGAGGAAGACCGGCCTCCGTGGCTGTTCATTTAATTTTATTTCTGGTCAATCATTCATTGAGCAAATATCGAAGGACCGGCCAAGTGCAAGGCACTGTTTAACAAGTGACCATTTCTAAAGATCTTTTTCCTTCACCTTCTCTTCTATCATTTCTTAACTCCATCTTCAGCTGCATCCCCGGGGAGGTAGTGTCACATAATAATGAGCCACACGAGGCCTTGTAACCAGGCTCTTTCGCATCTCGGAGCCTCGGAGTCCCCATCTGCAAAGCAGGGATGATCATAGTGCTTGGCTTACACCAGCGGCTCAACACACACTGAACTCCCAGTAAGTGTTCAGTATGAATGATGGTATGAAAAAGATAATAATAATTTGCTTCACAGGCTGCTGCAGCTAAAGGAGAGCCACCTGGAGGACAAAGAGGCATTAGGCAGAAACGAAACAAGAATAATGTTTGTAACTTGTGGTGTTTTGTGTTTCTTGAGCATGAAGAAACCATCAGCATTAACTGAGTATGTACCATGCTAGGATATAAGCGAACCTTCTGATCTGTGATATTTGTTGGGGAGAAAAGAAACAGTTTTCATTTACCCTCTTACGTTCAGTGGCTGAAGCCCTGAAAAATAAACTGATAAGAGACAGATTGGCAGGAGAAAAGGGTTATTTCATATGAATATGCGGGGGGGGGGGGGGTTGTCTCACAGAAATGAAGTGATAATTCCAAAGAGGGAGTCAGACCGTAAGGCTTCTAGACCGTTTTAACGAAGTGTGATAAATGTGGAGATATGACATGACCAAAGAAAAAAGAATTTGAGTTTGTGGGAAGTTAAAATATATACAGGAAACGAATGGAAGATAAGGGTTGTTCATTTTAGTAAGGTTTGTAATGCAGATTCCTTTAGGGTGCCATCACTGGGCTGATAAGAGTCTAGCGTTGTCTCGGGTGATTAAGTCATTCTGCCCCTCCTGGCACTAGAGCGGGGCTCAGGGGGGACACCAGCACAAAAGGAAATTTACCCTCTGCTTTGAAGCAGGCAAAGGGAAGGGAGCAAGCTTTGTTTTGTGTCATTTCTCAATTGCCTTTAGTTCAAAATAATCTTTATGCCAAAGTGGCATATTTTGAACAGCATATTATTGTCTGCATCATATTATTTAATATGCCCTCACACAATACCCCATAAACTGGGTACTCTTATAATGTCCATTTTATATTGGGGTAAACAGGTTTAGAGAGGTAAAGTATTTGCCATGTTTACACAGATGGTAAGTGGTGGAGCTGGGAATCAAATCCAGGTTTCACAAGTCTAGAACCAGCAGCCTCCAATCTCCCTGAAACTCTGTGGCACCGAGGTGGCAGAGATTCTGAAACCGCCAGGATTACAAATAAATTCCAATTCTAACCATTAGAGGAGGGAGAAAACTGTTTGCTCAGGAGCTGGGCCCTGGACTCTCTTTGGTTATTGTTTAAAGGAATTCATCATATAGTGCTGGATGACAGACTTCTCTTACAGTAAGAAGGGAAGCTTGTGCTGAAATTCTGAAGTAAGCCTCCAAGTCACTTTTCACTGTGGTTCCGTAGTGACCAGTCATTCTGCCCTCCTTGGTTTGCTGGAGGCTGGAGGTGTGTCTTTGCCCTTGGCAGAGTTCTTACGCATTTAAGTGACTCCCTGTTTGTTAAGTGAGAAAATTTGGTAGATTGGTGTTCCTCTCTGTAGATGAGATAGAAACTGCTACGCATCTGGAGAAAAACAATTAGGGCCATCAAAAATCTTTAGGGTGGACTAATCAGGTTTTATTAGGTAATCAATATGTGCAAAATGAGCAAATAGAAACTAGTTGCAGAGTCCGGCCATACATAGGTATTTGTTTGTTTGTTTTTTTAACTCAACAAGTCTAAATTCACAAAGTCTAACTTCAACTCATCAAACTCCATTCTCAAGCAATTGGTTCTTTTGTTTTGACTGCAAATTTATCACAAGTGTTGATGACTTGGTTTGCTTTCCTACTCCAAGACCTCCAGAATTCAGTGACAGGTCCTTTGGTTTCCTGCTAAATGGCTCTAAATGTGTTTCCTCTTGGGGGATGGGATTCTGAAAGCATTCTGAGTTGGTGAACCATTTGCAGATTGATTCCTGGTCAAACAGGTTCAGTCCCCACTTACCCATACAGCCACAGAGGATAACATAGCTCGAGGCTGGAGCAAGTATGAGGTAAATTCAGATATTGAGGCACAGAAACATACAGGCAATTGATTTTACCTCCATACAAGAACTTGTCTCCTCAGGATAAAGTATAAGCTCCTTTACACAGGAGGAAGTCTGGTGTCGTGGTTAAGAATGCAGTCCTGGAGACCGTCTGCCTGCCACTGGACTACGACAGCCATCTTGCTACCAGGAAGAGAAGGCCTGTCTGAGTGTGAGGTCAACATGGCCAAAAGCAGAGCTTAGAGGGAGTGAGAAACCAGGTCCTGAAGATGCTGCAGGAAATCAAAATACCCCACCCCAAAATATGCCACTTTGGCAAAAGGATTATTTTGAGTTGGAGGAAAATGAGAATCAATGGATGCAGAAAGAAGCCTTCGTGGAGGGTCCATCATCTGACTAAAAGTAGAAACTTCTGAGAAATGAGGACTGTCCTCTCCTGTGGAAGTCTTATGGCAACGAAGAAGATAAAAAGTTGGCACCAAGATGGACCTACACAAACCAACCTTCCTCTGTTAGTTTTCCCTATAGGTTTATTTACCTTCCCACAATTTGCTGCCCTTGGAAGCCTAAAATCTTTTCCTTTTTCTAATCACTTCTGTACAAATTTATTCTTCTTTGTTAAGATGCTATATAAGCCCAAGTTCTAACCACCACTTTGAGTTACTTGTCACTGAGTTTCTCCTATGTACATGCATGCTGCATGTGTTGGTTTTTTTTCTTGTCAATCTGCTTTTTGTCAGTCTAATTTGTAGGGCCCCAGCCAGAGAGCATCGGAGGTAGGAGGGTACAGAGAAGAGGTTTCTTTTCCTTCCCTACAATGCTACTAGGAGCCCTGATCAAACTGAGCTTGAAGCCACAACCATTGCTAGATTTTTCAGGCATGTAAGCCAAAACATTTCTGTTTTGCCTAAACTGTCTTAGGTGGGTTTTTTCCATCATTCATATTCTGTTCTCCATCTATCAAAATGTTCCCCAATATCCAAGCCCATTCAAATGCACCTCTCCATGAAGCCTTCCTTATTCTCTGAAGTTTTCCTTATTCCATCCAGGCAGAATAGCATCTGCTTGTCTCTCTCTCCCCTTCTGTTCCCATGTAATACTCAGTTGGCACTTCTCTAAATGCCCTTACCAATTATGCGTTGGGCCATTAAATGCCTGGGGACTCTGGAGCTGGATTGCTTAGGTTGTAATCCTGGTTCAAACACCCATGTCATATCTTCCCTAATAGAATATAAGGGGCTCATGACAGAGATCTTGGCTTGAGCCCTTTTCCTGTTGTGCTACCCATCTTGCTGTCCCACCCCTGTGAACAGGGCCTATTTGTAGACCTACCTTAGAATCCATGTGTTACCCCTCTGCCTTCTTTCTCATCAGAAGACCGATATTCCCTTGGCCTACCTACTATGCTCAGACTTCAGGTCTTTGCCCGCCCTGCAAATATGTTGGAATCTCGGACTCCCTAAATCTTCTCTATTCTAATGATGCCTGATCAGGATTATGACATAAACAAACAATCTCAGTGACTGACCCCTTCTCTTTTCTGGACTCTGGAAATGTCTGGTGCTTGAAGAGATAAAGTTTGATCCAATGGTCTATCTTGACTGTAAATAATTCATTCTACTGAATTAGAAAGGAAAATCTATTCCCTGGTTACTATAAAATGTAGTTCAAAATCTGTACTGTCTTGCTTTTGCTTTTCTGAGAGGCAGTCTGAAGGGTTAACTGTTGACAAAAGCCCTTCATTCAAATGAATAGACTCTGAAGAGTTTGTAAAAGAATATTAAATCCAGATGTTCTACTAAGGATGTTGTTCTTGAGCTAATGGGAAAATAAAAACAACATAATTTAACAGAGCCAAAATGTACATGAACAGAGAACAGAAAGGATTGAAGGCTTTTAGACAATAGCCTGGGTTATGGTCCCATTTCTTCCACTTAATAAATATATGACCATGGGCAAATCACATAATTTCTCAGTGTTCCCTTCTGCATAATGGGATTAATAATAAGCTACTCTATCATTATTACACTGAGCTGGGATGATGATCAAACTGGCTGATGTACAGTTGCTTTGCTACATACATAAGGTGGTATTATTACTCTTTCCAAGTGATCCAGGGGGTGAAATCTAATTTCTTAGTGGGACTTTTACACAATATTTGGTAATGATTGGAATACAACATCCTTGAGAAACTCAAGTTTAATTCTTTGTAAAATGGCCATGTTTATTTTGTGGGTAAAGAAAGTAATGTCTGAACTTACGGAGACTATTCCTGCTACTTTCATGTTTAGATTGACAACTATAATTAGATTAGTAAACAATAATGTAATATAACTACATAATTATAATTCTTATAACAGATGAATGAAATAGAGCAGAAAAGCAAGTGGGGGTATTGAATCCAGGTTTGGATATTGGGTCAAAGATTCTTTAGGTTTGTTGCTTATATGTTGGGCTTGAGCTTACCCCATCCTACTCAGCTTTGGGTTTCTTTGCTTTAACATCATATATAACTTATTTTCAAACTCCTTACCATGGTGTGAACTTAGATTCTTAGGTGCCATGGAATTTGTCTCCCTAAAAAGTACTTCGTAGCAAGACAGCTGAGGTCTTCCCATCGATAGTCACTATGTTGACATTTGCACTGATGTTGCAAAAGCAATCTGGGTAACAGTGACATTAGCAGTAATCAAGGGAGTGACACCAAACCTTGCTACTAATCATTGATTGTATTCTTCTCCACCATTAACTTCCAATCTAGACTCTCTGAATAACTCCACATAGACAAGGCCTCACACAGAATGGTCACGTGGTATTTCTGGGATCCTGGACCACTGAGGCACTGAGCGCAGGCCTGTCAGGGAAGCCAGAACATCTGGACTCTGGTTTGGGCAATGCAGAACTCAGGAGGAACTGGGACAAACTAGAGATTAAAGGACCTTCTCCCGGTTCTGGGCTCTAACCCAGATTCTGGGCAGATTCAGCCTCTAACAATGTCTAAAATGAAACTCTGCACCAGACAGGTGGGATGGGAAAAAATGAAGTTGATTTAAAGGAAATGAGAAAATGCCAAGGGAATAATTCTGGCATACTCGAGTTTGTGGGTGGAGATGAGGATCTGCTACTACAATAATGTGTGCTGCATTTATATTCTCCCCACTTAGGGGACAGCTTATTTTATGGAAGATGTGTCATTGAAGTCTATGTCTGTGTGGCATTTCTTTTGTCCTAAAGCCAAGCTGAAGTTTATTATGCTCTGCTGAGCCACTAATGTCTTGCAGGGTGTTTTTAAGGCAATTGATGACACCACAGAAAGAGCAGGATCAGAATTTGGAAGACCTTTGGCACAGTCTTTGGAGAATGGACAAATATGAGAAGAAAGGAATCTAATAGGGAAAAAATCAATTCACTAAAAGAAGAAGAGTAAATGGGGGAGAGAAGATTGAGTTTGAACATGACATTAGCTACTTAGTCACTGGATCAGAGGACAAACAACAAACCAATAATTCCAGTCAACCCCTTGAATTCTTTTTTCTCTAAATAACACTCCTCCTCTCATTTTAAATCTACCCAGATCAGAATTTTCCTTTTGCTCCCAGAGTCCGCCCCATCCTAGTGAGCCCACTTCATTTATTCCTTCATTTGGAAAATATTTTTTGAATCCTTCCTAGTGCCAGCCATCATATATATAAAGAAAACACCATGCAATCCTTACCGTAACAACAAAAACAATCCCAGTGAAATCTATTTCCTTCTTGTTCTAGGCGCACAGCTAGATGAAAATAGGCTAAGAGAAGATTAAATAAGTTGCCTAAGGTTATACAGCTAGTAAAATTGCAGAGGGGGATTTAAACTTAGGGTAGGGCAAGGTTCAAATGTAGATGACAGGCTCAAAAACAGACCGTTAGCTGACCATTCCCTGTATCTGAATTTTCAGAAAGGACTTCACTAGAAGGGAAATCCCTAAGGCCTGGCAACCTTCCCCGAGGTTAAGTAGGGCCAGGTGACAGTCTAGGCCAGTAGAATGTGGGTGGGAGTGATATATATCACTTCCTGGCCTGACCCCTAAAAATCTCTCACAATCCCCTAATGGGCTGTATTTTTCCTCATCTATCAGCCAAATGCTAATGAACCAGTAGAAGATTCAGAGGACGTAGCAGCTGAGGAAATCACAGGATGGAAGAACCTGGGACCCTGAATGACTGTGTGAAGTAAATCAACCCCAACTAACTCCCATTGGACCAGACATGAGGGCAACAAACCTACCCTTATTATTTTAAGCCACTGTGAGAGTTGAGGCTTATTTGTTTCAGGAGTTAGACTACCATGACTAATACATGTGTCCTTAAATAAAGTCCATAGTCCAGTAGGGAAGAGGGGAATATAAAAATATCACACCCCATAATAAATACTTCCCTCGGATACCTCATGGGATTTGTGAACTCTTTTTGGTATCAGATTCATAGAATTACAGCCCTAAAAGAAAGCATGACGGATCCTCCTAAATGTGATACTGGAAATAGGAATAAAACACACAAGTGTTCTAGGGGCCAGGCTTCATATGCACGAGTGTGAGAATTTATGAGAAGCCACCAAATGTGAGATAATAGGGCAACACAGGAAGTGGGTCCAAGCTAGAAAATGACATGCCAAAAAGCAATCATATTGACTCCTAAAGACCTTATTGGCTAAATAATAAATGTCTACTGGTCAATTTGCCTATGGAAGCCACAGTTACCATGTGAGAGATTTCACTTAGATGTCTGTAGATGGCCCATTCTAGCTCTGATTGTCAAGAAGTTCTTGGGTGTATGTTTCTCATCTGTTGTTCCTGGGGAATATCACCTGAAGGAAAACCTTCCAGTCCAAGATGCTGTTTCTGGATCTTCGTGCTTTATTCCTTCGAGACCTAAAAGTTTTGATTTCCAAGAGTCCAAACTATTAACTTAATACATAATTATTGACAGGATCAGCTATATAATTTGTGAGGCCCTTTGCAAAATGAAAATGTATGGTCTCCATTCAAAAAGCAGGGGAAAATATGATTAAAGATACTAAAATACCAGGGGCACCTGGGTGGCTCAGTGAGTTCAGCCTCCGACTCTTGATTTCGGCTCAGGTCATGGTCTCAGGGTCTCGAAAATGGAGCCCCTAGTGGAGCCCTGCATCAGTGTCCATGCTCAGTGGGGAGTTTGCTTCTCTCTCTCTCTTCCTCTGCTCCTCCTCTCACTCTCTCTCTCTAATATAAATAAATCTTTAAAAATAAAATAATTGTTAAAAAATGATACTAAAATATTAACCTTTTTCTTTTGTGGTTTCTCTCCTGATCTGTCATGGTGTTTTATTCAATGTGTATTTAATATTGTTAATTGCATTTAAACTCATCTGATTTAATTTAATTTTGCTATTTAATGTCATGCTCCCTTGGGTACAGGGATGCGCCTGGGGAAATGTGATCTCTGTAGGCACCTCGGGCCCCATTCTGGACTCACTGTGTAGCACTGCACCTGATATATTGGGGACCAGCAAGTCCTCCAAAGGCACTGCAGCCTTCGCACCAGGATGCACTTGGCTCCTACATCAGGTGTGAGTGAAAGGCTTGCCGCGGTGGAGTCGCCCACTAAATGCACTCGTGGAGCTACCCGTCCAAGGTGGCACAGCTGCTGCCATGCCCTTTGGGGAGATGCTGCTGGGCACAGGTACCCCTCTTCAACCTTTTGGCATCCATGCCCAGACCCCAGCCAGAGTCACAATCCCCCTACCCAGACCACCTACCTTGCTTGCCACCCAGAGCACTATAGGTGGGGAGTGGGCAGCCAAGAACCCAGAGAGGCAGGAGGCACAGAGGTGGTGGGAAGTGGGACCACATGTGAGCAGAGGCTTAAAGTGTCCTGCCCATGCTCCACTGTCCCAACAGACTCCATCTACAAAACACAGATTCAAAGATAGGATCACCAAGAATTTCAAGATGGTGACTACAGAGCATTAACACCAAGTGTGGAGTCCTTCTGAGTGGGGGCCCCATGCCACTGCCCATGAAGCCAACTTTGATCATGGATCATCTACCCCACCTGCTAAGCACCAGGGATAAAAATAGACCAATTCCCTACCCTGATAGAGTTTCCATTTTAATCCAGTCCTTACTGAAATGCAGATGAGCGTGGGAGGGGTCACACCTCAGTGAACTGTTTAATCATAGGGAAGGTTAGCAAATGGTCAACTTTTGAGCCCTTCGTGAAGATTTCAACTTTGCAAAGCCCTCGGTTTGGACCCTGCTCTTCCATTTTCACTGGCGTGCAATTTACTCAATACTCAATACATTGGGCAATTTACTCAACACTCTTTAAGCCAGTTTCCTCATCTGTAGAATGGGAATGGATAATAGTATCCATTTCTATAGGCAAAGAGCCTAGAGGGGCACGTGCTCATGTTCATTATTCCTGTTTTCTAGTAGTAGGAGTGATAGTAGTGCTACCATTGGCTTGAGCTCAAATGACCTGAAATAAAGTGCATGAAATTGGAGGAATGACAGCAGGGAAAAGGAGACTATTCAGGTGGAGGAAGCATCTCTCTCTTTGCAGCTAAATGACCCAACTTTGGGTTATTTTTCCTTATTTAATGCCAGCTGAATTAGATTGTCTCCCTTTTCTCTTCACTAAATTGACTGAATGATTTGGTGCTGCGTGAAAAAGAATCTAACAGAACAGCTTTCTTTTATTTTCATTAAAGAAAACTTGTTTTAAAGTTAAGTGAAGCACAGTTTATTCCTGATTTCTAGAGGCAAGGAAATGATCATGTGTCATGGACTTTTCACTATCCTATGAGTCATGAAATTTGGCATTTATGTTCACTTGTACCATTGGCCTGTTAAGTGCATTCTCTTTAATCTCTGGAGAATTGTAGTGGTAACACTTGTCACATTCCCTACTGAAGTATTTTGAGGATTAGGTCAAATTCTTAAAATACTAGCAATTTAATGAAAGGCATTTGCTTAAAGAGGAGAAAAACCAATGCAGGAATTCTGTTTCCTACTTTTAAAAAGAATCCAGGAATTGTTTGAAATACAGTTGGATTTCTACACATCTTGATTGTGCCCTTCCAGAAAAGCATTCATAAGTCTGGAATTTCCCAGGGTGCTTTGCCTGGAATTAGTGTTGAATTACCAGAAAATCAATATGACACGTAGTATCCATTTATGTAGATAGTAATTCAACACACACACACACACACACACACACACACACATCTCATTGTGGAGCTCCAATTCAGGAGAAAAAGGAGTATCCTAACCAGAGATGGAAAGGATTCATTTCACAAGTTGTTCTATGTAATCATCTCCAGTTGGAAATATAATATGATAAAACACAATTTCTATAGTTTTTATACTCATCCTGAAAAATAGATTCTGTATTTTTTTCAAGGTTTAAAAATTTTATTTTAGATTTTCATTCATCATGTTATTCCCTTAAGTTCTGCCTAGTATACCATGAATATGAACTGCACCTGATCTAAATCATCCCCATTTTTTCCCTCCATCTTCCTTTCTCCTACTCCGTGTGTGTGTGTGTGTGTGATTTCAGCAATTTTCCTCTAACAGAAGTCTGAGCTCCTTTCTGAGAGCGTGGGTGAAGTCTCCACAAATCTGGTCAGGAACCACTCCATACTGTGTATGAGGATTTTCTTCCCTGGGTCTGCATGTTTCCACGCTGTCAGAAGTCCTTTTCGTGGCTGGCTGAAAGCCCAAGATATCTAGACCATCTTAAAATAAATCATTTCCATCTCTGGTTAGTACACTCTCTGAAGATGCATGTGCTAGGAAGAGATCACAGGGTTAAAAACTCAAAGAGCTAGAGGAAGGGGAGAGAACGAGAAGGGAGCCTGGGAAGAATGAATAGAAAACATTTGGTTCTTCATCTGGACTGAGTTAATCACTGTACCTTCAACGAGAGCCTCAAGAGACCCCAGGAGAATTCCTGGACTCTCTCAGGAAACAGATTATTCCATCTGAGTGAAATCTTTCTTGGAAAATAAGTTACACAGAGAGAGAGAGAGAGGGAGAGAAAAGAATTCTTCAGGCTCCCATATGTCTCTTTCAAATGATTTATCCTCTCTCTGGAATACTTGAGCTTCTTCATGCCTTGGGTTTATTTTGTTTAAAAGAAAATTCAAGCGACTATCTGGAATTCTGCGACCTAGATTCTGCCCAATTTGGATTCCTTCAGAAATGAAATAGGTAGTAATTATCAGGCACCATACTAGAATGCTCTGATTTTTTCAAGGGAAAATGAAGAAGTGACTCAGTATCTCTTAATTTAAATTACCTCCAGTGTTAAACAAGGCTTACAAAATCCACTGATATTTGTCAAGAAGGTTCAGAGTGCCCAGGAGTAAGCTAGCACATTCTGTTGTGTCTGTTTAGGGCCAGTTACAATATTTATGGCCTGCCTTCCACATTCGACAGAAATACCTATAAGTTCTGTGTATGTGCATACGGAGGAATACTTAGATGCCCTGTACTAATAGTTCTGTCCACCCTTGAAGGCCTTTATGGGGCTCCTCATTGCTAACTACTCCTCAAGAGAGGAAAACAGGAGGCCAGGAGATGGCTGGGAAGAGAGGCTAACATGTATTTGGAGGACCGCTGGGTGCCAGGTACAAAGCACAGAGGCTGAGATCGTTTGATCTCGTTTCTGCCACTTATAGATATGTGAATTCAGGTAAGTTATTTAACTCTCTAAGCCCCGATTCCTTCATCTGTAAGATAGGAATATTTATACTATTTATGTTAGATAATAGCTAACATTTTTTTGAGGGCTTTTTGTACCAGGCGCTAAGTGCTTATGTGTGCACAGAACCCTCCGAAATAGGTACTAGGGGTAGAAGCAAAAATTTAAGTAAAGTGCTTAGCAAATAAGTGTTCAACACCAGCTACTATCATTAACATAAATATTATTATATAGTGTCTTAGAGATATAACATATCTCAGTTAATTTTCTCAAAAACCCTATAAAGTTGGTATCATCCTTCCTATTTTTTGCTCATGAGGAAGCTTAAGGAAGTGAGGTCACTTGTACATGTTTACTTAGATGCTAAGAGATAGGGCAGGAGGATTCAAATTCAGGGGTCTGATTTTAAACTTGTTCTCTTTTTCCTATACTGCAAAAAAACATTTTTTCCCCAATTCATGCTATAGAAACATTGTCTTCTGCTCGTGGCTATCGGATTTTCCATTACTGTTTATGGCTCTGCCTCACACGTCTGACCTCGGTCCCAACAGCTTTATTGAGAAGAGGGATCGGCATTCCGGGGCACCGTGCCTGTGGCAGCGGGTGACGGTATTTGCACAGACAGGTTTAGGTGTTGCTGACATTATGCACCCATCTCCAACTCCTTACCCAGGGGAGCTCCTGGTACCCCCACCAGCGGCACCACCACCATCACATCGTCCTGACTAACCCCTGCTCATCTTCCAAGGCTTAGTTTGAGCGCCATGTTCGTAGGGAGGCCCGCCCTAAACACTGATCCTCTTTCATTTAGTCATTCATTCAGCAAATATTTACAAGAGCCAAGTGCCTGATGTCAGGCAGTCTTCGGAGTACAGTATTGAAACTCCCTGTCCCTGTGATGCTTTCATTCTTGTTTAGGTAAGGTTCCCCACAGCATCCTGAAATTAGCATTTATAACCTTGTGTGCTTATGGTTATTTATTTGGAAGAATTTAAATCCATACCATTCATGTTCCCCGAGATCCTGGGATCGAGTCCCCCATTGGACTCCTTGGAAGGCGGGAGCCTACTTCTCCCTCTGCCTGCCACTCCCCCTGCTTGTGCCCTCTCTCTCTCTCTGACAAATAATTAATAGATAAAATCTTAAAAAAAAAAAAGAATTTAAATCAATCCCATTCTTCCCCATTAATTTCTAAACCACACGAGATTTTCTCCATTAGTTAATGGAGCTTTGCACATAGTAGGCACTCAATAAACATTTGTTGAATGACTGACTTGCAATAGGCACATGAATTCATCTTTTTTCCGGGAAGCACTAGCAATGGGCATTCTCAGTACCGATTCCCAGGAGCTCCTAGGGTGCTGTGAGCTCAGACATCCAGCCTGGGAGAAAGACAGAAAAGGTCCATAGTCTAAAAGGGAAGGGCTCCATATTGTGACCTACTTCTTGAAAATGATCTCTCCCCTGGGGATGTGGAGACAGAGGGGTTTTCACAGAATGCTAATGCACATACAGATTGGTACAACCATTCTGGCAAGCAATCTTGCAGAATTTAGTCAAATGAAGTATACACACATCTCGTGTTCCAACAATATAGTTCCTGGGTATATGTCCCAGGGATATTCTCACACAGGTCTATGGGAAGACATATGCAATGATGTTAACTGCAACATTATTTGTGGGTGTCTGTCCATCACTGGAAAGCAAACGGGTAACGTGTTGTGGAGGCACAGGATTGGCACCTTAGGCAGTAGCCAGGAACAATGAATTAGATATACATACAGCAATATGGAATCTAGCAACACACAGCCACACTCAAGTCTAGTGGAAAAGCCGGAAAACAGAATGAGATGCTTAATGTAACCATTCATGTAAGTTAAAAATCCATGAACAGAAAACATTGCATGTTTTGCAAAAATGCTTGCAATTAAAATATCCACACTAAATACATTAAAATGACTGCCTCTAATGAAAGCAGCATGGGGGGTGTGGAGATAAATGGAAATTAATTTGTGTAATAATAGAGCTTATTACATAAATTAATTTATAAGTCAAATAAGGGAGAGGGCTTGATGGACTATTGATGTCACTGAATAGAAGATTCAAAAGCAAACAAAAAATGTTTTTCACGGACGCCTGGGTGGCTCAGTCGGTTAAGCATCTGCCTTCGGCTCAGGTCATGATCCCAGGGTCCTGGG